TGGCGCTATTGCGGCTATCGCCTCAAGTATGAGTCATTATCATCATGTTGCTCACTGCAGCGACGGATAGAATCCGCTCTTCTTCCGGCCCTTCTCCAGCAGCGAGAGAGAAATGCGGGACTCTTACTTCGCTTGCGATGGTTCCTTTGCTCCTCTAGCCCCCATTCCGGAGGCTCGTCTGGCCCCTTGGGTCACCCCCTCGCCCGCCCCGAAATTCCAGTCGGCTCGGAATTGGGGGAGGGGCGACGGGGCAACGGGAGGGATAAGATAATAATGACCTAAATTGGCGAAGGGTGATTGGATAGGCGACACCTGCTGCTACTGCCGCTCCCGTCTAAGGGTGGCAGGGGGTGGGGTGGGGTGGGGTGGGAAGGTTCGACAAGTTAGGGGAGAGGGGCAAAGGGCAAGGAAAGGGGCTAGGAAAGGAAGGGGAAGTTAAGGGAAGGGAAGGGAAGGGGGAAGGGGGAAGGGGGATGGTGATGGGGATGGAGACGAAGGGAATGCACAGGAAGATATGCAGCAGGAGGTGGAGTATGACTTGACTTCGTCTCGCAGTGGAGTCTTTCATGGTGCACATGTTACCGAGGGGGAAAATAGGCGCAGGGAATTTATGAGGGCTCACCGGTATATATAAAAATGGGGGATGAGATCTCGCTCAGGGCCTGTAACCACTAGGGGCTTATCTAAAGGAACGAGGAGAATTACGAAATATAGTTACCCGGGAGGGAGTTGCGTTCCGCGGCGAGTCATGTGGTGGAGCTGGGCTTCGGATCTGGTGGTCACAATACGTCAAACAATACTGGCACGAATACGATGGCCGATACAGAGAGACGAAGAAAATTCCTACGCACTAACGTCAAAAATACACACCTAATAAGACAAATCGGGGTAAAGTATGTACTTTCCTCGAAGAGGGAATCGAGGGCAGACCGACGGCACCCGAGAGAGAGTGGGGACCAGCGGTCATCGACCCTAAAGCTAACTAATGACAGCGCATCTGTTTATTAATATGTTTATTATTATAAACAACAATCGTTATGTTAAAAGCGTACTTACTACGGTATCATCCTCCGCGACCGCCTGTGGCAGGTACTCTAGCGCTGCGTACCGGCTGTGAGAACTGCCGGTGCCCTACCACATACCGACACCCGCCATTATTGCTCTACCGTTCTGGTGGGCTCCATCTCCCCCATCCCATCCCATCCCATCCCATCCATCCTTGGCTAAAGTAACGGGCCTGGCTTTGGCCGCCTAGGGGCCTATAGTTTAGCTAACCGCCCCTCTCTGCCATTGGCCGATCAGAATGGCCTCAGGGCATTTGAGAAATTCTCTCGCGACTTTCTTCCTTCGCTACCCCTCCCCCACCCGCACCCCCAGCCCCTGTCTTTCCTTCTTTCGCCTCGCCTCCGTTATTTCGTCTATTACCCCGTCCGCGCTTGCTCCGGTAACCCCTCTGTTCCTGCCGCGGCTTATTTCGGAATATTTTTTGGCCTGCTTGCGGGGTCCGATTACACGTCCGTTAGCACGCAGAGCAGATAAATCCTGGGCATAGATTTGGGATTATTTAATATTTCAAACGAGGCGGGTTGTTAGAGATATGAGCCGAGTCTGGTGAGGCTAACTTAGAAGGGAAGTCTCGTAGCCCTCGGGGCTTAAAACTCCGAATATATAAATCGGCTCGTAGCCCTGGGGGATGTAGATGTAGCGGTAAAAGTCGCTCGCACTTGTGGAGAACTCGCAGAGATGTCCGCCTGACAGCAGAAATGGCGAAACTGTCAGAAGATCAAATAAAATATGGAGGCGGACGGGGTACAAACCGAGCGCACCGGAATGACATGGCCCTGGCGAGAATCTTCGCCTAAGCAGTCCGTTAAACAAATGATATTTTAGAGCTAAGCGCGCAGAGGAAGATTTGGGAGCTCGGGTGGATATGGTAGATTATATGCGCGGGCGTCGAAGAATGTCAAGAGACGGTTGACATGGCGCATTTTATATCGTTTCTCTTGTCCGTCTGGGCGAGAGCAAATATCCTTGCGAGGTGGCTCATTAACAGACGCCTTCGCCTCTGGGTTGCGATGGCATTGGATGGCGACGCGACCGCAAGCCCATGGGGCGAGAGCTCGTGGAATTTGGCCCCGCGCTGTGGGGGCAAAATAGAAAATAAAGACGCCTGATAAAGGGCGGAAGGAGGAAGGGTGGATTGCAGAGGGGGCAGTAAATGAAAAGAAAAAGGCAGGACGCAAAAGAAGCGATGGAAAGCGCGCAGAGGTCCTTCTAAGATTTGTTTCATTATGGGGTCCAAGTACAGCGCGAGCTCCGTCGCTCGAAGGGAGCTGGTGCCAATTTCGGGAACCGGTCTGCTGCAAGCTGGCGGCGAGCTTTGTATGAGGTGGTGGTGAGAGAAGAAGCCTTACAATGAATGATTATGGAGAAAATGACGACAATGAAGGCAAAGCATCTTAGGAGTCGACATTATTATGTGAAGAATTTCAGATGAACCGTCCGGTGCGCGAGTTTTGATTCTCTCGCTTAAAGTATTAGGCCGCTGTCTGAAAATTAAACGGGGCGAGCGCAAGCCCGGTACGAGGATTATCCCCGCGAGAGCGCATCGCTTGCTCGCTGCGTGCTCTTTATGACCTGCTGCGAGATTTGGCCTTAAAGATACCGGAGGAATCTGGAGCCCATGGACCGAATGAGCGCGGTACCATCGCGATACGTTTCGTTTCGAACTTTGAAGAGCGCAGCCCCCGGCAGGCCTCCAGAGCGCCCAGGCCCAGTAAGTGGAGCCGATTGATTATGGGCTTGAGGACGAGGCGTCTACCTCTACGGTGCCACTGCTTCTACGACTGCTACCGAGCCGAACCACTTCTACCGCTCGAGCCTTGCTTCGCTCTTGTTGTTGTCTAGAAACATGATATAAATGAAACTGGTCCCGATTTGCTGCTTCAATCGAGTGCTGTGTATATTTTGCCCTGCTCATTATGACGTCTTGACTCCCGGATTGGATATTTTACAATTGTCTTCTTACCAGCCCGGACTGCACCAGAAAGGAGATCCCCCCGGATCCATCACTCTTACGGGGCCGAGAAATATTCTCCCGGGGGGTGGGCTTGCTTGCCCCATTTCCTCCTCATTCTTGTTAATTTCGCCCCTTTCCGTCACTGGCTTCCTCGTCCGTCCGTCCGTCGTTTCGCAGTGCTGGCTCTGGGGGTCTGGCGAGAGGGTCGGGTCGGGACTGGGGGGTCTGATCCGGTCCCCCGAGGGGGCAGGGGCTCGCAGCGGCGGAGAGAGGGAATGGTATCGGAGAAAGCTCCGGTCAAAGCTTTGACTGGGCGCGGGCCTGGAATACTCGAGCTCGAGACTACGACGACGTCGATGATACGGACGGACGGACGGGCCGGCGAGGTGGCAAGGACGGATCAACGGAAGGTCTCCGAGGTGGGGCCTACGTACACGCAGCCCGGCCAGCGTACCTTCGGAGGCAAGGTGCAGGGCCGAAGCCAGTTCAAGAAGCCCCCCGAATACATACATACGTACCGGCACCAGCGTCCTTCTGAAACCATCGAACTCGCGACAAGGGTCGGGACCACTGCGCCTAGGAGGAGTACGACTCACGACTTGACCCGGACCCCCGCCCTTGACCGTGGTTAGTCTGAGGTATGGGCAGCCGAAGGGTAGGAGTACAGTAGTCCGACCGCTTCTTACGGTGCATATTGGTGCCTTGCCTTGCCTGCCCCTGCCCCTAGCACTGCCCACTGACCGGCGCGGCGGGCAGCCAAGAGAGAGAGAGGGGGAGAGAGAGAGAGAGAGGGTCTGTTGTTGGTCTGTCTGTCTGTGTCTGTCTCTCTGCCTTCTTCTTCTCAGAGACACGCAGACAAACGACAGGCTCCGTCAGTTCACGTCCCGTGACACCGTCAGGCGTGTCAGGCGGGGGGGTCCTTCCCTAGCCAAGGAACGCCCAGGATCCGGAAGAGGACTTTCCGTCGCGCCTGCGGGGACCGCCTTTATAAAATCCTTCCGGTGGACGGGGAGGAGTTTCATTTCCTCCGGCCCCGAAACGAACCGCACTTCCGCTGACCGACCTCTGGCTCGCATCACCTCACCTCAGCACCAACATCAGATCGGACGAAATCTCTAGTCAAGAGCGGTCTCGATTGCCCCCTCATTACCTCTAGCCAGAGGAACAAGCGCATTTCACCCCCACCCCCCTCCAGCTTCGCCTTGCCTTGCCCCCCTTGCCTGCCCCCCTCCCTACCTCCGCTGGTCCGTGTCCTTCGCGCAGCGTTGCTTTCCTTCCGGCCCCGTCCCGTCTTGGCCCGTCCCGTCCCGTGCTCAGGCTGCCGCTGTTGCTGCGCTGTGCTGTGCGCTTGGGCCTGGGCCTGCAGCTGCTGGTGCCTGCGCTATACCTCTTTCGCTACTAGCCATGGTGGTTGGCCGGGGCTGGGCTTGTTTATTCGGTTGTGTTCCGTAGGAGGGGTAGCGGTGAATGTATTCGGGTGAGAAGAAGAAGAGGCCAAATTCTTACCTTACCACCAGCACTAGCACCAGCAGCACCGGACCGGACGGGAGGGAGGCAGGGAGGGCCGCCGAGAGGCAGACGCTCCGCGAGGGAGAGAGGGAGAGAGAGAGGGAGAGAGGAGAGAGCACCGTAGCACCTCACCTGCGCTTCGCTTTGCCCACGGGAGTGCTGCTGCCTCTCCTGCCGAGAGGGAGAGAGAGGAGAGAGAAGGAAAGCGGCATTGCGAAGTGAGAGAATGTGACGAATTAAGAAGAAGAGCAGAGAATGTGAAGAAGAAACAAGAAGAATTGCAGAAGAGGCGTTGCTTGCCGGGTAGCTTGGCGGGCCTAGGCTCGGCTCGGCTGCTGGCTTTTTCTGCTTGTTGTTGTCGTCGTTCGGGAGCACAACTATCATCATCATCATCATCTTGCTCTGCTCCTCCTCCTCCTCCTCCACCACCACCACCTCCTCCTCCTCCTCCGTTCCTGCTGGGCTTCGCCAAGTATTATTAGTAGTATATTTCTTTCTATTGCCCCGTTCCGAAAGTAGGAAGGAAGGAAGGCGGAAGAAAGGGAAAGAAGGGAAAGGCGACGACGGGAGCAGCAGCAGCAGCAACTGTCTTCCTCTCCTCTCTTTCAGAGACTCTCTCTCTCTCTCTCTCTCTCTCTCTCTCTCTCTATCATCAGCCGTCGTTGTTGTCCTCCCGTTCGTTACGTTTCCCAGAGTCAGAAGACGTGGTCGTCGTGTTCCGTTCAAAGAGTGGGCGCTGTCAAAACTTTACGAGTTTTGGATATCGGTGGAGAGTGACTCGGAAGGAGGGAGGGAGGGAGGGAAGAAAGGCCGAAAGAAAGAGTCGGTTGCGACGAGCAGACACCAACCGGCCGAGCGTGAGCGTGGAGGGATAGAGACATAGCGTATCGGGAGAGTGAGACCGAAAGGGGCTCGGAAAGGATTGGAAAAGAGGGTGCGCTCGAGGAAGCCCGGGTGCGATTGCACGTCAGAAATTTGTCGCAATTGTTCGTGATCCACACGGGGTCCTGTCGCGTCCGAGGCTACGAAGTGCGCTTCCCGCATGTCCGCGAGGATTGATTCGTGACCACGGGGGCTCGGATTCCCGTCCGCAGCGCGTGCATCGGGTCCAGGGTTTAGGGGGCGCTGGTGGTGAATTTTTCTGGGGACAGCGCAGCGGTGGTCGGTTCGCGTCGCATCGCATTCATCCTGCCAGTACAGCGTTATATGGTAAATTGCGAGGGATGATGGATTGAACCCGGTGACATGTTTATTCGGAGGCCATCGTGATCTGCGTGTGCACCGCTCGTCCGTCAGCTGCTCCTTTGGTGCCGGGCTGGCAAAGAGCATTCTTTGCCCGCCTCCCACCGCGCGTCCTTTTATCCATGCTTAGACGAGCAGGTGAACATGGGGAACGTCGGGAAGAAATGGAAGAGGAGGCCAGCCGCGGTATACCAGGAGTATCATAAATCAATGTAGAACCCCAGGGGTTGTGGGCTCTAACCCTGGCCTGGCTTTATACCAGGGGTTGGTCGGTTTGTAGTGTCGACGCTTCTGTTTCAGTTATCGCGTCGGCGAGGCTCATTTTCTTGGCCATCATCTCACCAATTGTCCGCCACGGGGAGCCCCGTCTCGACCCCGTGTCCATGCGCTCGCGGTTGCCTAGGTCGCTCGCTTCGTTCTGCGCGCGGAACTGCATCCGCATCCGCGGCCCATCCGCATCTTTGCCGGTGCAGGAGCGCAGCCGGCCCATCGCCTTCTTTGCGTTCTTCCTCGTGTGCTTCTTGCGCGTCGCGTCGCCCTAACCCTCGAGCGCCTCAATCTTTTTTTGCCAGGAATAGCAAAGACTGGGCTCAGGGTATGAAATTACTGCCGGCGAGCTCGCAGCTCGAAATCGTCGGCCCGTGGGAAATTTATCGCGCACCCCATTAGTTGTTGGCAGCCCGGGCATGGGCCGCGGCGGTGCGGGGAGCGCGTAGAGAAACGAGCTGCCGAGGCGATCCCTGCGAGTCTTGGCCTGCGAGAGGCGGGCGGGAGGAGGAGGAGGAGGCAGCAGGCGGAGGAGGAGGGATTGGCGAGCGCAGGCCCCAGAATGGACGGTGCCATGAGCTCCGGCAAAACGAGGTGTGGGAGAAGCAGCCGGTGAGGCACCCATGGCAGCGACAGCCCCAGGCACTGTGCGGGATGAGGATCTGTCGGCGAAGGCGCTGCAGAAGCGCTTCGACTCGCTGGTCACCGTGCGGAGCAAAGCCGTGAAGGGCAAGGGCGCGTGGTACTGGGCGCAATTGGAGCCCATCCTGGTGCAGAACCCGGAGTCGGGCACGCCCAAGGCGGTGAAGCTGCGCTGCAGCCTGTGCAATGCCATGTTCTCGGCCTCGAACCCGTCGCGCACCGCGTCCGAGCACCTGAAGCGCGGGACGTGCCCGAATTTCAATGGAATCATCCCCAAGCCCATCTCGAGCATCTCGCCGCCCGCGGGCGGGGCTGCGGGCGCGGCCAAGCCCGCGGCCGCCACCACCACCAGCAGCGTGCGCAAGCGCAGCGCGCCCTCGCCCACCGCGCTGCCGGCGCCGCTGCTGGCAATTGAGGCCGCGCCGGCGCAGCGCGCCAGCAGCGCCGAGCTGGGGCGCAGCGGCAGCGCCGCGGCGCCGCTGCTGCTCTCGGGCGGCAAGGAGGATCTGGGCGCGCTGGCGCTGCTGGAGGACAGCGTGAAGAAGCTCAAGAGCCCCGGCATCAAGGCGCCGCTGGGCACCGGGCCCAGCAAGGCGCAGACGGAGGCCGCGCTGAACACGCTGGCCGAGTGGCTGTACGAGTCGTGCGGCACGGTGTCGTTCTCGTGCGTGGAGCACCCGAAATTCAAGGCCTTCCTGCAGCAGGTCGGGCTGCCGCCCGTGAGCCGGCGCTACATCGCCGGCCAGAAGCTCGACACCAAATTCGAGGAGGTGAAGGCCGACTCGGAGGCCAAGCTGCGCGACGCCATGTTCTTCCAGCTCGCCTCGGACGGCTGGAAGAAGAAGGCCACCAACATGGGCGAAACCCTGATCAACATCACGCTGAATCTGCCCAATGGCAGCAGCCTCTTCCGCAGCGTCGTCAACATCAATGCGGGCGCCGTGTGCGTGAAGCTGGCCGAGGAGACGCTCTGGGAGGCCATCACGGGCATCTGCGGCACCGCGCTCGAGCGCTGCGTGGGAATCGTGGCCGACACCGACAAGTACAGCGCCAAGGCGCTCCAGGAATTGGAGTACCGCAATCGCTGGATGGTCAACCTCTCGTGCCAGGCGCAGGGCTTCAGCAACCTGCTCAAGGACTTCAACAAGCACCTGTCCCTCTTCCGATCCGTGGCGCAAGAGTGCATGAAGCTGGCCGCCTTCTTCAACAACAAGCCCCAGGCGCGCACCTACCTGCAGAAGTACCAGCGCCAGGAGTATGACGCCGTGAAGCTGCTGCGCACGCCGCCCGACCCGCAGTTCGCCGATCCGCACTACGCCTACGTGCTGGTGATGCTGGACGACATCGCGCAGTCGGCCCGCGCCCTGCAGCTCACGGTTTTAGACGATTCGTTCAAGATTGTGTTCAACGAGGATCAGGTCGGGCGCGACGTGGGCGACATGGTCGGGGGAGTGCGATTTTGGACGGACCTGGAGGCGGTTCTTGATCTGGTCAAGATCGTCAAGGTCATGGTGCAGGATATAGAGGTCGACCGGCCCTTAGTTAGCCAATGCCTGCCGCTGTGGGACGATCTGCGGAACAAGGTCAAGGATTGGTGCGGCAGGTATGACAAGGACGAGGCTCCGCTGCAGGAGGTAATTGAGAAGCGCTTCCGCAAGAATTACCATCCGGCCTGGGCCGCGGCCTTCATTCTCGACCCGCTCTACCTCCTGCGCGACACCAGCGGCAAGTACCTGCCCCCCTTCAAGTGCCTGAGCGGCGAGCAGGAGAAGGATGTGGACAGGCTGATCACGCGGCTCGTGGCCAGGGACGAGGCGCACATCGCCCTCATGGAGCTGATGAAATGGCGAGCCGAGGGGCTCGATCCGCTTTACGCGCAGGCCGTGCAGGTGAAGGAGCGGGATGCGGGCACGGGCCGGATGAAGTCCGTGAACCCGCAGAGCCGCAGGCTGGTCTGGGAGACGTGTCTGAGCGAGTTCAAATTGCTGGGCAAGGTGGCGATCCGCCTCATTTTCTTGCATGCAACGTCGTGCGGGTTGAAGTGCAATTGGTCGCTGTGGAGATGGGCGTACAGGAACGGCAACTCGAGGCTGGCCATCGAGAAAGCGGAGAAGATGATCTTCATAGCCTCACATGCGAAGTTGGAGCGTCGGGATTTTGTAAACGAAGAGGAGAAAGATGCCGAGCTATTCATGAACGGAGAAGATGACCGCATTCCGGACGAGGTCTTCCTGAGTGCCACTTTGTAACATTGAGGTTGCGTTTAGGAAAGCAGCAAGTCAAGCATGCAATTATGTAACCAGCCAGCCAAGTCAAGCCGAGCCGAGCCGAGCCAGCCAGCCAGCCAGCGACCCCCCTCTCCCTCTGTCCGTCTGTATGCCTCTCCCTCTCACCTTGTCCATGCGGCCATCCAGTCGCCGTCTCGCAAACTCGCTCGTCCCCACGCACTGCTTTCTGGGCATGCTGTTCCTTCTGCAAGTGCAACGACTGCCGCTGCAATGCAACGCAATGCTGTGCGGTGGAGTGCGATGCGATGCGACGCAATGCTGTGCAATGCAATGCTGTGCGATGTAATGGCGGGATGCGAGCGGCCCGTCCCGGAGACGAGAATTTCAGTGCAGCATCCGGCCTCGTCGGTCTGTCTGTCGGTCAGTGTCCAGACCGGGGCCCGCTTGCGCGCGTGCGGGCGGGTGGGCGTTCGGGCCTCTTTTTTGCATCCAACATCACAACCCCGGACCAACTCTCGGAAGTCAAGTCTGAATTCGTCGACATGACATTTGCGGAAAGGGACGGAGTGGAGGAAGGAGGGGGTTGTGGTTCGGAGGCTGTGTTGTGTATGCCTAGCTTTCATTCATGCCGGGACGGGGCTGCATGATAATGATGACCAGGATGATGATGACGCATGGAAAAGGGTGTGTCGTGGAGCTACACGTCTGAGTTCATTTCGCAAAGAGGCTACCCCGTCGCAGGTCGGAAGTGAGACGAGATGAGTGAGTCGGGCGACAAGATCATCAATCATGACACCGCCACACCGCACCACGCCACACGGAATGATTCGGCCCGTCGTCAGTAGACTGAGTGAAACTGAGCCTGGGACAATGCGACGGTCTGGCCCCTGGAAGGAACGCAACGCATGTGGCGTGGGTGAGAGGAGTGGGCCTATGAATATGCCCCTGCGTCAGTCGGTATGCCGGGTGGGCGGACAGATGGAAGAGAAGAAGGGAAGGGAAGGAAAGGGGAATGGAGTCTTCGCTGCTTGTGCTGATGGATTGAGAGCTGTGCCGATGATGATGAAGGAAGTATGAATCCCTCTGGCGTCTGTCGGGTCGGTTCCATTGTTCATAATTGATAAGTGCGCTGTCAAATCATTAGAAGTAGGACATTAGCTGTAGATTCATATCGCTAACGGTTAGGATTTTCATTCGATCAATAGGTGCCGTGCCTCCCGTTTTTCCCAGATTTTGTACCCTGTGCTATCATGCGACGCGATGCGATGCCCTGCTACTCCTAGCTGCTAGGTGCCCAGCTTCGTCTTCTTCTCTCTTCAAGTCCACCGCTGCTGCGTTTTTACGAAGAAGATTAGAAGTACTGTAACCTCCAGTCAGTCAGACGTATTGGGGTTGGGGGTGGGTGGGATTGGAAGCCAGGTTCTCTGGTTCCCACACAACATTTTTGTTTTGCCTGGAAAAAGTACACATTTTGCAGGCTCGAGCATGTGTAAAGGTTTCTCCATAAATTTAATCATTCTTGAAAGCCCACCAATGTCATGGTGGCTGCTTTTTCTCACTCGTCTCTCCCCTCGCGTGAATACTTTCTTTCGGCTCATACATTTCGTCACTGGGTCCAACGTGTTGAGGTCCGGCTGCTACTCCTCTCTTTCACTATCATCGGTCGTTGTCGATTTGAATGAATGCTCTCGGCATGTACTCCTCCATGGGTCGAGGCAAGTCCAGTGCCTGTTGCAGTATGCTGGTTGCTGACGGGGGTGTATATTATTCCTGCATGCATGGATTGGGGTCGGCGCAATTTCCAGCTCGACTGGCATCGGCCTCAGGCAGGCAAGTAAGCCTCGTCTGACCGACTCCTAAGAAACCATTCACTGACCCGTCCCCCACCGTAGAACATGTCACCCCAGGTTCCTCACAGCACAGCACAGCACAGCACGACGACATGAAGGCCGCCGGACCAATGTGAGTGTGGAGTCGGGAGTGAGGACAATAAGTTCCATGTCAAAGCGACTGCGAGGACGCAAGGGTGATACAAACGGTCTTGTTCTCTTCTGGTCTAGTGCATTTTGCTGCAGCGGCAGCACTCACGTCGCTGTATCTGTGTTCTTAGGAGTTACTGCACTCAAATGACCAGACCGGTTTATCGCTCGAGTCTGATAGGACGAGGATACGTGAGGGAATGGAAGCAACGCACCGTAAGCCTTTCACCTCATCTGACCTCACCGCCCGCGCCCGCCCACCTGGCTTGGCTGGTTCTCCTGCTGTCCGTGTAAGGCAAGCTCGCATTCGTGTCTCCATCGAGTGTCTGGGGCAGTGCGTCGTCGAGGTGAGGAGTCGTCGCTGTATTTCTGTACTGGTCTGTTCCGCTCTTGTTCAGTGCAGATGGACATGAAGGTGAGGCGGCTGAACAGAACAGATAGGAAGGATGGGGGGCGCAAGTAGTGAGTCAGTCAAGGTAATGGAAGTCTTGGACTGGACCACCATGACATGACCACCCGGAGCCAGGCATGTGTTGTGCAATTGCATTGATTTGTGCCCATGTAACGGTTTTCCAGTCCCAAAGGACAAACACATATGAAAGTAGTTACATACGGACATGGCGAAGATGAAGGCCTGCTCAGCTCAGCTCATCTCATCACAGGCCGGTGCTCGCGCTTTCGCTCTCGGAGACTTCATGTCTGAGTATCTGAGCGAGAATCCATCCGGTTTCTACCTCTCCTGTATACACATGTGTACTCTATGGTTGCAGAGCGGCTCCGTTTCCTCTCCCGTCCATGTTCATACGCTGCTCTCGCCCGCGAAGTGGTGAGTATACTTCCCGTACTCGGCTCCTCCCCGAAGCTCTTGATGAGCGGTGACAGGAAACTATGTTTCTCTTCTGGCTCGCTCGGATTTATACTCTGAATCGACCTCCTTGGCTTGGTACGCTAGTGAGTAGTTAGCAGAAGCCCCAGACAGGCAGACAGACATAGTCAACAACCAACAGACGAGATCCGCTCCTCGAGCAGTTGAGAGCCATGGCTAGTGGTACTTTTTGTTTGTTATACGATTATGTCTCGAGAGGAAACCTCGAGACAATTCAAAATGCGTACGAACACGTACAATTGTAGAAGGGTATCCCCGAAGGGCTCGGCACGGCACGTATGTCTTGTCGTCTCCATGAACGTGCGGATGTCTCCATCTAGTCTTCTATGAGAACGTGCGGATGTTTATACCAACCCCAGTCATCTTGTACAATTGCATTACTACTGCTGGTCCGGTCGGTCCGGTCTTTTCTGGTCGTCGAGACAGTCAAGTATAATATGTACAAGTACACACATTCGCCTCGCGCCATGTGCTCGTGCTCAATTGCGCCATGCCGAGACAGCGACCCACTGACTGACCGCCTGCCTGCCTGCGTCCCTGCCTGCCTGACGGACGGACCCGACTACGACTACTCACCCAGTCTCTCTCTGAGCCCTCACCAAGTCGCACTAAAGTTTCTGAAGGTATGACGGACTCTCGCGACCTCGTCCAGTGCCTCGAGTACGACGATGAATGTTGCGAGGCCAACCGAAGGATGCTCGTCGAGCTGTGTGGGGAGTTCGCAGTCGAGCTTGTTGGTTGAGACTGCCGGACTGACTCACTGACTGATCGGTTGGTCGAGAGTTGACCCGGTTCCATTCCCTTTCGTGCACTTGGCTCGACTTGGCTTGGCATGAGCTGCTGCTGCGATCATTTACGGAGTGCGAGTCGGTTGTCACCTGGTCACCGCCAAAGCGCGTTCCTGATAAATGACATTCGCTGTGCCCCATATTTGAGGTGTAGTATACGGGGTTTGGGGGTGATAGCCCATCAATGAAAAGGTCGGGCTAACCCGACAGCTGCTGGGGGTCTGTGTGCAAACCGCAAGGAATGATGGAACGAAGGGCAAGAGTCTGAGCCGCGGGGCCGAGGACTCGGAAGGGCTGGAATAGAGGGATGCGAGCATCTGGACTAGAAACTCGGGGTTTGATAAATGCCGCACTCCTGTGCTCAGCAGCAGTGCCGATCCATTGGCGAGATGGAGAAAAGCATCATCAATGAAAAGGTTTCTTTTCAGCATTCGCTCGAAGTTCAAGCAGGCTTGATAGATGCGAAACAGTTGCCGTACGCTGGGACGAAATGATAGAATTTGAATCTAGAGCACCACATGTATGTTCGGAAACAGTAGAATTTAAGAAGAAAGGTCGTCGTCGCCTATTGCATCTGATCTCAATGCCGCTCGATGCGTTCGTTTCATCACCAGCATGGCTCAATGATGGCTCGGCTGACCGCGACCGTCCATTGAGGAGAAAGCTAAGTCGTTGGTCCAGGTGAGTGAGTAGCGGCGAGAAAGCAAAGGGCCGCTGCCCAGTGCTGCTGCTGCTGCTGCTGCTGCTGCTGTGAATGACTGTTCTGCTGTTGATGCTGCTGCATTGCATTCATTCATCCATATGCCCCTTGCCCTTTGCCCTGCCCGCCCGGGCCCTGCAGAGTCCCCTCCTGCCTGCCCTGCGTGCCTGCGCTTTCTTGACAGCAGTGTCAAGGAAGTTGAATGAATTTGAGAAGTGCCGAATGGCGGTTTCGTGAACTTGTCGAGCGCAGAACCACGACTGTTCACCATGTTTTGGGCCACCTACATTCTTGTGAATCCAGCGGGAAGCCTAAACGTTTGGTCTCGCTCAAAATATATAAAAATCTTCTGTTCCATTATTCACGATTCTTGAGAAGATATGGTACGGCTATCTCTGAATAGGTCTCGGCCCTCGGACCTCGGACCTCGGGTGCCCTCAGCTGGACGGTCGTTTTCATGGACCATGGATCCAGAGATGGATGAAGGGGTAATGGCCAGGCAGATAATAAGCGAGATTACAAGTTACTGCCGACTAGTTGGAGCTGGACCCGACCGTCGAAGGAGAAGTGTTCTCAGAGAGAGGACAGCGATGGGCGAAACTGTTAACTGTTGTGGTAGAAGTAGCAGGGGTAGAAGTGAAGTGGAGTGAAGTGAAGTCGCAGCAGCAGGAGGAAGAAGATGATGATGATGATGATGATGTCAAGAGACCATTAATAAAGCAGTTTTGTAACGGCATCCATCCATTCTGGCTGAAGCTCTAAATTCATGAAGCGTCTGTCTGTCAGTGAGTTGAGAGAAGCAGCGCATCGTACACCCCAGGCCCCCCCACTGAAGTTATTTGTTGGAAGATGGAAAAGAGCCTTTTGTCATTACAAGCTGAATCTAGTTAGCCCCCTCACCTGTCTGAGACCATCCCTGTTGTGCCCTTTTCCATTGATTACTGGTGGTTGAAGATCTGGTCTCAAATTCCACTATTCACTCTGCAATTTACATTTAGGTGCGCTGTTTCTGCTCCTGCTGTTCCTGTACTGGAGGACAACTGTTTCTCCCTTCTTGGGAGTTTCCGGATCAATCCATCATATGGCCTGAACGAACATCCACCCGTTTTGCTCCGCCCCTTGCTTCCCCTTCTGTGCTTGGCAATAGATAGTCAACACCGAAGAAGGGCCCACATGAATGTCATCCACAGTGTGGCGCTCCCTCCCTTCCTTCCTTCCATTCTTCTCCCCTCCTTCCTAAACTCTGCATATGCCGATGTCTTCCAACGGGCCCAGCAAAGAATGAATATCCTTTTGAGGGTCGCAGCAAAGCTCAGCACCTGTGGATCCTCCTCTTTCCCGGCACATGTGCTGTGCTGTTGACATGCGTTGCAGAAGTTCGATTTGGTCTGGCTTTGCTCGGCTGATTTTGCCTCAAGCCTGCTGGAACCGGGGAGCTGCTGCAGCGGTTCAGAACGCAGAACTTCTTTTCGTTGTTGAGCGGGGCATATTCAAGCCATTAAGAAAGACCAACCTGATTAATGTCAGTGAGGCTCATTACTTCTGAGCATGTTCATGACGTTTAGCATTTAGTCAACTCCTCGTACTTGCCCACCGAGTTGTTGGATGACACTGCTTCTACTTGGCCTGACTTTCTTCCTGGACCGTAGTTTGAGATCCGCCTTCGATCCACATATGCTGTCTTCTGAGAGGCAAGAGCCAATTCTAGAAACGATGACAGATTGCCGACTACGGTAGAGTTGGAATCCGCTCAACGACCACATCTTCCCGCTTAGATGCATTCCAGAAGCCTCTTGCTCTACGTATATCCACTTAACACGTCAACATGAAACACGCTGTTACACAGATTAGCACTGTTGCTATCGTGAACCCAACCGCCTGCGTCAACAGTCTGTTACGAGATAGAAGAAAGATTCCCCGAGCTTCATCTCCGATTTATTGCACACCTACAGTGCCCACATTGAACGACATGATAAAGCCAAACTCTGACTCACCCCTCCGCCCCCGGCTCCACTTACGGTGTGATCTTTGGTGCTTACAGGGGCTTACAGCGGCTGTGCCTGTCTGCCACTGTTCCGAGCATGTGTTTTCAGGCGTTGCCTGATTCAGAATTGGGTGATTCGGTTTCTGAGCTGTGCTCTGCTCGATGCTCATGCCAATCACGCGAAAGTCCCATACACAGCAGACATCCAAGTCTTCATCAATTGGATACCAAGAAATACCCGAGTGCGACTTCTTGGAGGAGGGAGCTCAAAGGCCAAGAAGTTCCTGCCTGGCGATGAAATTCATGCGCTGCGCTGATCCTTGCAGTCAGAATATGGTACTGTAGGACAGAATGACGAAAGAAGAATAATGACCGATAAAGAGCTTGGCGTTCACTCTTTGGTAAATCCAGGATTGAGATCTGTACGTGATGCAACGTTCAATCCGATGCCGAGTGGATTTTACTCACTTGAAATAAAACGACGTCATTCCATATTTTTCATCACATGAAGATGTGGCCATACATAATCAGGGAACAGTTCTTCCCAGCATCTGCTAGGATAAAGGTAAAATTTCACTATTGCACCCGTCTTCAATGTGCACAAAGTTCAAGTATCAATGAGGGGTATTGTGCAGGCAAAGAACAGACAAATGTGAAGGATGTCATTCTTATACATGCTATCCACCAATTCTATGCACTTGAATCGTCACCTGAACGTACAGTCCAAGCATATAAATGGCTTTTGACTGAGCAGGTTGACTTCTACTTCCGAGAATGTCACCGGGAAACATCTGAGTCTCAACTATTCTACGCCCGTAATACCCGACCTGGTAGGGTCTCCGGAAGCTTTCGCTACACATTAATACAAATTTATGAACATAACGAGGATAGATACTGGAAATGAAGTCCAGATCTTGTATCGCATGCTTCAGCTGTACTGATCACCATAAGATACGAAAGTCAAGTACGGAAGTCTAGACGAAAATTCGAGGTATGAGAAAAATATTATGCACAAGCAGTCTAATAAACTCCCACACCGCGGCTCAATGATAACCTTGCTGATGTAATCAAGAAATCTCCAACTTGACCTTCAAACATGTAAAAGCAGCGCAACTAAATTGTTCCCTACATCACTGATGCAATATCTGGCACGTTGAAAGAAAAATTTCTCGATTTCACAATTCCATATCCTCAAGATCCGGTAGAGGAAAACGTAGTATTGCAGCAATTCCTGTCAACTGACCCAGCTCTGCAAGCACATCACAATAAAACTTCAGTCCTTGAGGTGATAAAAAAGACCGAAGAAGATGACAAAGCGATGGAAGGTGATATAATGTTCGTGATCTCTTGAAGAGGAGACTGGACTTGGCAACGGCAGATACTTGCATCCTGAACTGCGAGTCCCTTCTATTCTATCCACAAAATACTTTACGCTGTCAACGCGCTTGAGAGTCTACCACAGTCAGATTGAAGTAAAGAACCCGGACAAACTAGTTCTCTGACTCGCCAGGCTATTCTATGAGTTCTTAATAGAACTCCAACTGCTTTCCCGTCAGGGAAAACATTCTATCTTCACATGCATCTTCTCGATTATATGAAGGAAGACTTCTTCGAGAACTTAACACCCAAACTCTACTTAGTAAGTTGTTGAAAGTCTTTGAAAGGCAGGAAATGATTGTCAAAGATGCCCAACGACTAGCTATTGGGTTCATTTATTATACAGTTCCAGAGCGAGAATTTCTAAAAATCTAGGCTAATGTATGCGACTACAAGGTAAAACTGCTTGGAGAATGTTTTGAACTATGAGCACCCAGAAACTTGCTTACGTTCACCCGAGGGATGCATAGATGAGAAGACATGTACATCACCGCCCATCTCCTTAACAGACTCAACCAGATCAACATATCTACGCCTCGTCGGAATATCCGCACACCTGAGATAAAATGATCAACAATAACTTGAATTGGAAAATCCTTGTAAGGCTGAACTTTGTGAGCAAAAAAAGGAGTCTGATGTGGAAGTGGGAACCTTCATTGGGAGCCAAAAGAGTACGAAGTAAAAAACAAGAAGGATGAGAAACCCATCAAGTCGTACAAGGATAAAATCAAACGAGTAACATGGAGCTAGGCCCCAACAGCATCACAATGCAAATTATGTCCTACAGCACCGAAGATATCTATCTGTATCAAAATGTCTACAAACAACAGGAGCATCTAAATAAGCATCACCTAAATTGATTACTTTCACAAGGTTTACAGCAGCTATGTAGAGCAATAGAAAAACGTTTCCTGATACAAAGCTAAAATAAATAGTGATGAATCTTGCTAGCTCAAGGCAGAAACAAAAACCAAGCTCCCTTACCTAAATAACTCATCAGTAATCAAAAGAGTTTGAATTGCAATGCGTTCCTGAGCAGCTTCTACATGCTTGGGTCCATAAAAGGCACGTGCAGAGTCCTGCAGAGTGGCATCCCGGCCGAAATAACTACCTCCCGGTTTTATCCAACTTCTATTTTCTTAATCATCTTTGCAGCCAAGTGGCATAAACTCCAGACCATTTCAAATGAAACAACACAAGGTTTTACAAATGAAAATAGATGTCAAAGCAACTAAAGATGATAAACTAAAACTCATGTACTTAACATAAATTCAAAACTTACTTGAGAGAGCATGCTGAAGAAATCCTGCATGACCTTAACCTAGACAAATGCATGGAGATGTCAGAACGCCAACTATCTAATAATGAGCCGTCTATATGAGCAACTATCTACAATATATGATTGCACCATATCAAGAAAATCAGACGAATCTCGTTCCGCATTCAAACCTGTGCTCCTATACTCTGTTCTAAACAATCCCAACCAATAGTACGAAAATCACCTCCTTTGCAGCCCTGGTATCTTTGATTTGTGCCATGACAGCTGGTTCAGCAAGAACCTCTTTTAAAGAATGTCTGCATTGTGTAAGCGAAGTACGTACGTTACAGAAGCAGATGTAATATATCCTGCTATCGACTGATGCCCGTATCTCAATCTCTGTAACTCTAAGAAACCACCAATTTTACAAGCTATACACCTCGTCATGTCGACCGATAGGCAAAAGAAACCTTTCCACACATTTCTAAGTCATGTTTGCACACAATTTATCAAGATTTTCAGGGGCCTACTTATAACCGGATGAGGAGTGTGCCAGCACAATCTTTGACTTGTTTTCGATGATATTTCGGAGCTCCCGTCGCGATGCCTCCAGCATCATGTAGTTATAAAACTGATCCTGAAATAACACTCATCCTTGGAGCTAAGAATAGAACTCAACCAGCTGTCACTGTTAAAACTATTTATTCCAGCTTAGTTGAGATTACGTTCCATATAAACACAGTTTGATGCCAGTAAAGATGAAACTGAAGGTTAAAATCAAGAGCAGATAATGTGCGAACGGTCAAAGTACCTTAGTGAAACCTGGGCTTGCTATGATTAGACATTTTACGATACTGAAGTCTACATGGCGTAGGACACCCTGCATCACAAAATTGCTACCAACTAAGTTAGGTGTGAACGTCAAACCATGCCACAATTGGATTCTGATCTCTAAGACCACCACCCTTTTATAACTAAAGATGACAAAATCGTCGGCAAGATAATGCAACAAAATTACACAAACAAACAGGGTAATTACCGGACAGGACAGGAAAGCACGCCCACCTGCAACACGTTCTCAAAGAATTTGTTCAGAGCCTGCAAAACCAAAAATATGTGGCCAGAAAAGTTAGCAGGCGTGCACTGTTACTTCAATACTCATGTGATTTTATGAACAGATGCTCCTGTAAATAAGCTCATGCATATTCGAACTAGAACAAAAGGACAGACGGAGTTACTCAAATGTCGAAACTCAACAATATGGGGATATCGAGCCATGAAATACCTTGTCATAACCGGCTATTGCTGCACCCCGTTTGCGAGGAATAGAAGTTTCTAGGCGAGCTTTTGTGGTGGTAACACTACAAGACAGTCAACATGAACAATGCATTACAAACTACCACTGTGAACTACGCAACTTTCGCGAAATCAGAAAGGTTAATAAATTCAATGCTGCGAAAAACCATAAAAAGCATTCTACATTGATATACATATTTAGATAGCAAGAAATCTAAGCAACAGTTTTAGCAGCTAAATTGCACATGAAGCCCAAAGATCAAAGATTTTGAGAATATATGGTAAGCATATGAACAGACCAGGCATGTATGTCTAAAATGCAGTGAACAAAACAGCATAAAATAGTAAAACGAAATCACTAAGGTGCAGTGTGGGCCAGCAGGGTTGATGCAACCGGGGCAGTGAACATCCCCAACATCTGAAAGGCGAGCATCACACATAATTCAACAAAAAATCAAAATGGAAAAGGAAATCTAAGTAATTTTTGATTTCCTTCTTTTCCGCGGAAGCGTGTTTCCTGAGAAGTATATATAGATCAGTACTCCGCGCAGTACCTTTGACCCAGAAGACAGATATTGGCTAAACCTTCTTGCAAAATAACTGCCGCTACATCGGCGCTTGCAGCTGGATCTGTTCGGACAAAAATGAAAACGAGTTCTCCATCGATGAGCTTTCTAACAGAATGATAAAAGATACTGGAGTCATAACAGACGGTTTTGACTACAAAATCTGATATCTGATATACTATCTGATATAAAACCTCAGATAAGAAAAGAAAAAAAAAACCAGCAGTTCCGATCTACATCGGGTACACTAGTTCAGACAGAATAACGTTAAAAAGTTATTAGTACCATCTAAAATAAGAAGACAGTGTTTGCACAAAGAGGACATTACCACAAGCTTCTTTCAGAAGATCAATTGCGATTGAATCCCAGTTGCTCTGCAGAATCGCATATCGCTCTGTAAGTAATACGCGTATCTAATGCGAGTTGGTTCAAACATCAGAGCCTTTTAAAAGACCTACATGATTGTAATAATTTAAGCTCTATGCAGATGGCTCTTATTTACTTCATTTCTGATTCCAAATTGTCTTCATTAAGACCTAGCAAATACTGTATATTTGCCCCATTTATTAATTTTACGGAAAATTTTGATCTGTAAAAGCCTGATGTTGCACTCAGCGAGAAGCGTCCGGATGACAATGCTTGAACTTGTTTGAGCTTTGTACCTTAGAGGTTCTCTGGGACAAAGAAACTTATATCTTGCGGCTTTCACAATGGTATCCATTATCTATATCATATCTACGCCCACTGGCATTTCCAAAAGTTGTTTTCATAAGTTCTTCGGTACGAATCTTTCGACTTAATCTAGCTAGTCGTGAGCCCCATGCTTCAAGTGGTGACACGACACACGGTCAAATAATCCCCAGTATCTATGATGGTTTTGTGATAGACCTGGAAGTTTCAGTCTGATGAATGAATCTACCCATGATCGGCTGGTACGAGTATGTTGAGTATAGCATCAACACAGTACTTCCAGAAATACGCTATGGATGGGAACGGCAGCCCATGCCGTCCTTCTGATATAATATTAATGTACTGAAACAACCATACACATTCAATTTTAAGGAAGTATTCTCCTGTCATACCCTAAAGACTGCAGACCCTTCATCCCAGACTGAGCGATGCCAGTATACTAGGAAGAAGTAAGATGAGATAAAGGAGGAGGCCAAAGAGAAAAAACTATTTCAGAGTGAAGGTGGTATTTCTTCTAGTATGATTGTGCCTCCTTAATGAACTTTCCCCAGAGCTTCCAGATGTCAAATTCCTCCTGTTACATTCATTGCACGAGAAAACAAAAACTCCTTCAACTCAGCACCTACCAAAAATGACACACCTTGGTCAAAACAAAGGGCCGCTGCTGATCAATTTCAAGTGTATGATAAGCACCTAACTGCACCAAAGAACTCATGTACTTTGTTAGAAAAGAAATCGAGCAGATAAATGGAATAATAGACCACAACTACTTGCATCGGTACTAATGAAGGCATTTGATACTATTTACGTTTTCACCTCGCTAGGTGCAGTACAACAAACTACAAATCTTTTCTCATCCATCTAAACGCTTTCCAGTAAGATTGACATCCTTGCATTTTCAGATATTTGTAATCACAGGGGGATAAGAAAGACCCGCATGACTTGAGAATGGACCTGATGGAGAACTTTACAGTTTCGAACATTAACCTTGATACTCGGCACCCATGTCAGAAACTTGATCAAGATGACAATCTGTAAACTGTTTCCACCATAAGTTGGAAAGAAAATATTTGTTGATCCCTTACCCGCACATGCTCGTTTTCAGCCATATTCTTTCCGCGGACACGCAGCACGGCCGCTACATTATCGTACTCAACTGTCTGTCCACAATTCACAGTCGTTCTCGGTGAGTGGAAAATGATCTAAAATGAGATTCAAGTTCCAGTAGGCAATCCGGTTGTCTGGTCTTTGACGGCTAGTGACCGCATATTATCTCATATACAAGCGCTTGATCTAAATCTTAATTCATGTTCACCAGGCAGGCCTGACCATGAAAATAGATGTGGATGAAGCATGTAGAACAGAAGAATAGACCAAATTGACAGAACTCATATTGAGTCTTTGCACACATACTGGTAGAAAATAATGTATGCAACACATCTTGGACGTTTTTCATTATCGCGGTATGGTTGCAGGAGATTCTTATCGAATTGATCTGACAAGTATATATTTTTCAATATTATCGAGAGTTACTAGATTCTGGTTAGGGTGTTCCAATTCCAAGGGGCATATAAACCAGTGAGAGATTATCGAATTGTGAGGACCCTCCTTCATTTCATCCTCGTCCTTATCCCACGAAACAATACTTTAAGCTCACGAAAAGTTGGGAGAAGGCCAATTGCATCCCTCAACACAAATATCAATCCTGTCCAGGTCTTTACAAGGCTTACCTCAACTTTAACTTCTAATTTCAGACGTACACGTTCAGCTTCATTCCCACCTGAAGATGTCTCCCTGTTCACCTTCCTGCCAATTTGACCACTCCAAATTTCTAAAAAACACTCCAATACACGTGCATTCACATCTACTCACAGATGAGGAAGTGACAGTTGTCAACATTAATATCTTGTATACGGATATCTCTCGGGTAGTTTCTAAGAACCAAGAATTCAACTTCAACACAGAAAATTTAAGTTTGCAGCTGTAAACCGAGGGTGCCCATATAAACCAGACAACTTCAGATTCCAAAACCAATACCTGCATACCTTGGAAACGATCTTGTCTAAGGATCACAACACAAATACAAATTAGCCTACTAGCTGCAAAAGTCAACAAACTAAAATTTGCCATGGCTACTCAAACCTCCATCTTCCGATTGGCACTTACTGAAGATAACACAAACGTTGAATAATACGCGGAGTTAGGGAGCATTTACAATACCTGACAGTAACGGCAGAGATATGGTCGTTTGGAGCAATCAGATTATAAACATGCCACAGATCTTCCGGCTCTTCAGGTACAAGCTGGGAAATGACAAATAATAAGATGCCACACCGTAAGCAAGGACGTTCTGCACTGATTCCATTAGTACTCGAGCTCAGATTAACCACCATTCTTGTTTCGGCGCACCAAAATTGCATAGAATAGCATATCAGGTTCTTCCAGCTCATGACAAACTTTTAAAGTCGACATGATCACACAAATTACCCACAAAAGAAGTACCTTGACAAAGCCAGCAGCATCCTTCACGAAATCTTTGCGCACCAGCTTCATTCTTGCAAAATGGAGTGACAATTTTCTTCAGTCCTGTGTCTGCGTGAGTGTTATAAAGTGATCGATTTTCCTCTTTCTCGTTCTCTCGATCTCTCGTTTCTGTGAATGACCAAGTCCAGAATCCGCCTTTCACACAATCCAGAATTCTGCTTCAGATTGGCGATTTCGGAACAATTGACCACTGCCATGAAGTTAATGAACCCTAAACACTTCTTCCGCGCTGCTTAGGTGTACTGGATGGACCTGAAAATCCAGAGAAATGACACTTGTCGTGTCAACTGGTCTCACAAGGGGAATCCGAGTAAATGAGCAGAAGGGACAGGACCCCATCGAGTCCTACGTGGATGAATCCTGAGGCAGGACGGGGCTTACCAAATAGCATTACATTTAGAATAAATATAATGTTTAGTATAACTTATAGTTACGTCTACATACCACTTGTTAAGAGATCCCTCGATATTGAGCAATGGATACTAGCAATAAAAATTTGGTAACACAATTTAATAAACAAAATGATGACTCTAAACTCTAATTCTCACCAGTAACTTTTTCCATGTGGATGAAGTAAAATTTTGCTTTGGTGCATAAATTTGCATTTACAGTGGTGATGTAGATCTTATTTGAATCCAGTACGTCCACTTGGAGTGAAAAAAATCTCAACTCCAATTTATTTATAGAATATATGGAAGAAACTTAGAAGTTACACATGGTCAAATTTGGCATAAGGAATATTTTTTTTATGCAGCACTTGTGCATATGTTTTCGTTACGTGAGTAGCATAAAGCATCAGTTAGGTGTCACGTGAAAAAAATAATATTGACCTCAAATCGAAAGCAAAATGATTGCCTAGTTTGCCTTATCTCTTTTATTGATGTGTATAGCATGTGGTGTCATATTGTACACACTCTCATTCAGCTGAAAAAAATTCATCATGTACTTTCAAATCACTGTTAGACTTTACCTTCCACACATTTCATTGAACAAATCAAAGAGAAAAGTCCCAAAATAGTTGAATTTATGTCGGATGATTTTTTGTGTGAAATATATCATTATGAAACATAAAAAGATTAATTATGTTAGTGAACCAAATCATAAAACAAAATTATGACTTTGAAAAAATACTCATCATATAAACGTCTATATTATATCTATTTTAATATTATATAAAGAATACTATATACATATCATATAGAAAATAAAATTATGAACTAATTTTTATCGTATCTGTGTTATATTTGATTCATGAACTAAAAAAGTGGAAATCAATTAACCTGACCCAATACGTGCAAATCAGATAATCTTTATTGCTAAAATTTCAATTTCATGCGTTGTATGAAAGTTGACACTTGATGCACATGGCAACATAATATTAATATATCAAAATTGATGGCACAATTGTATCTTTTTGTAATTTTATGATTTACATTCAATTCTAAAATTGCAGACAACAAAATAATCTTACTGATAAAGAAATCAAATTTTTATGATATAGATTGTTTGACTAGATCAAAATTATGTATCTCAAATATCAATTTACAAAAATATCATCAGCGTTATGAAATATATATTTTTATATAGTATAATTGAATGTGATATGATAAGATAAATATATGTGATGTTGATATATCTAAAAATAGACAAGTTTGAAAAAAAATCGGTTCAATTTTGTATGAATCACAGATTACAAAATCGAACAGAATGATGTAATGAGACATATATGTTTTTGAGAAATGTTAACATCAAATAAAAATAATATTAAATTTGGACAAGAAATGTGACTTGAAACATAATTATAAATAAAGGAATATAGATGCAATATAAAAATTTCCATGTGAAGGTAAGAAAGATGGAACTTTCTATTGTAGTGCTTGCATGCAATAATGATACATTTTTGACACAGATTCTCAAAACTCTGCAACATATATATTAATAATTAATGAAATGTATGATAAATTCACGCTAACAAAAAATAACCTGAATCTTTCAAACTGAAGTTCGAAAAAGTAACTCTAGATCAGATAAAGTCAAGCAATCAAAGATAAAGTTCTACATATGGAATGATTATATAATTGCTCAAATGATCTAATAATGAAACGCATGTATAATTCTTTTCAACAATGATAATTCACGAGTTCCATCATACATCATACAGAGTATGGAAGCGCGACAACCATGGGAGGACTATCAGTACGCTTGAAGACAAGGTCTATTGTGCCGAACTTTCAAAGTTTCAATTAGGTATCCTATCCTAGCCATCATGAATAGAGTACAGTATGTTGAAGCTCACTTGTCTGGTTTTTTGTTTGTACGATAATTGTAGATACACAAACCTTTGTACTTGATCACCGCAAAAGTTTCATACATTGCGTTGGTCAAAGCAGAGAAGGAGCTTTTTCCAATAATAGCAACTGGAAGCTGGTCTGATGGTTATCCTCTCTTATGGGGATCCCACTTCCTGACATTTGGGGAAGAAACAAAGGTAGTGAAACGTTGGATGCTAAGCTTCACACTGGCTAAAATGATGACACAATCTACGAAACCTTCTCATCTTTCTGCTACATGTTTCTTACTTCCCGGGTGATCCCTTCTGTTTCAGCCCTCTTTGAGATGATGGGGTCTCCCTACTTTTTTTGCTATATTGCTCGATTTCCCGTGCAAAGTTTTCTCTATCTAATAGCAAGCTTGAGACTTTCTCTAAAATTGGAGGCCGGAGGAAATTTAGCAAGAGATGCCTATATTTACCTCCCGCAGTCTTTGGAACAGAGGATGACTCATTAACGAAGAACTATGGCAGAGCCTCGAGAAATATTAAGGGGCCACAGGGAAAGCACAGTCAGTCGGGCGTATCCAACAGTACAGAACATGGCTCTGGTGTGGTGAGGAATTGACGGTGATTTCGTGGCGGTTAGCGAAGCAGGGATGGATGAGACGGAGCCTGTGACGTACAGAAGGAGCTATGGACGCGATCGGGAGCGGCCTCAACTTGGATGGGACTCCTGAGTTAAATGTGTCCCCTTCAGAGATCGGTCCGCTGACCAATCCGATGGACGAAATATTCTCCGCAGGACCCGAAGCAAGAGGCTGACGGGGCACCCACATCGCTGACGACAGACAACTGCGCGCACAACCTGCAACAACAAGTCTTCTTATGGAGTCGAGAGCCGCTTGATTTCAGACTGTGGCTCGTTGCTATTCGACGAAACCGGGCCAAACCTCGCCGGTACAGTACTATATAAAGAGCACGTCTTTGATCTTCTATCGCCGTCGTTTTCGACCACGTAGACTTCACATTCGTTTGGACAGGCGAAAAAGTTTCTGCGCGGTGGATGTGGAGGCTCATGGATGTGAATGGGTCCTGAGTCAAAGAGCGTGGGCCCAGAGACAATCCACTCCGTGCAAGTCATCATCCAATGGTTGGAAGGCTCACCGCGAGGACACTCCTCGACAGCGGTGAGGAGCAGATGCTGACTCGGATGTAGATCCTGTATGTCGCAGGTCGGGGAAGAAATCTCGACCGTGGAGCCCCTCCATTACGACAGAAGAGACGAGAAGAGCAGAGCCAGACGGACCGCCCTCGCCCGCTGGCGGTGCGTAGCCCCGTGCGCCAGAGGAGTCCGGAGTCTAGGGTTCGAACTCAAGAACGGACGGGAAAGGTCAGGCAGGGGAGTACGGACGTACTGGCAGGCGAGACATTCCACTTCCATGGAAAAAGAGCAACAAAGGGGAAGAGGAAAGGCGAGCAGCCTTAGGTCGGTCCGTCGGGTCTCTCCTGTCACGAGGCGAACGCAAGGGACGAAAGCAAGGGACCAAGGCTGGCAAATTTGCATGAGCCTGTGGAAAAGCGGTGCAGGCAGAGGAGTTGCGAGGTGAATCTTGCAGAAAGCCAGCGTGTGCAAGATCGGAGTGCGGAGGGTGACGGAGGCCGGAGCAGGGAGATAGGATTGTGTGGTTTTTCACCGTTCGTAGAATGGGGCAGAAATGCGTATGTGCCCGGGGGGAACGGGGATGAAGGGGAGCGCTGGAGAATTGGAGGTGTGGCGGTGAAAGGATGGGTCGGTTTGCCGAGGCCTGGAAGTGAGCGCGAGAGAGATGTCATGGTCGAAGGGCTTGCAGGAGGGGTTTTGGAGTTCGGGAACTTGGTTTAGGCAGCAGAAGAATGGAAAAGGGTAAAATAATAATATTGCTGTCGCGCGAGAGAGAGAGGCAGAGAGGAAGTCGAGAGCTGCCTAGAGGGGGCTTGAGGTAGCGTAGTGATTGTCACAACAGATGGATCCAGAGCAGACTTTCCTGAGGGTGCATGCGCGGTTGTCCGGCGTGCTGTCAAGGCTGTTAACTCCGAGATTTAGAGCATTGTTGGAGTACATATGTCTTTGCAATGCTCTTATGCTCTTGGCACTGCTTGTGGTTATGCACGTCAACTTCGTGGCTCAGGTCTATATACATTTTTTTTCCTCTCTTCACTGTCGTTAAAATCATCTTTCATAACTGCGGCAAGGTCACGGCCAGTGTTTTGTGCTGCATTCGGATACTCTTGATTTCTGTGTATTTCCAAGCAACTTCAAACTTTGAAGGCAGTTAAGTCTCAGTAACTTACGGGCGCTAATATTGTCGTAGCAATGCTTCTGGATTCGAACATTCTGGGTTGTATGAGGCATTCGGTCTCACCCTTGCGTGAAGAAAAGCTAAGTGAGGAAATATTTCGAAAAGTTTGAATTGAACAGAGGCTGTAATATCAATTACATCTCGAGACCTTGGTGGCCCGGCTGAAATTCTTTGCAGTGCATGTAACTAACGCATAAAATAATTGCTCATCACACACATATATTGCAGCTTCACCTCCTCTCTTGCTTTGAAGTATTGAACAAATTCTTATTGTTGAAAATTTACTCTGAGAACCATAGTAGATGAAACCAAACAGTGCTGAGAATCACACGTAGGTTACAACCTTCATAGATGTTTCTCTACCCAAGTTCACAATCTAGGAATATGTTGAGATTTAGAGTGTACAAATGTCTACGCCTTCCGTTTTGGGTTAATTCTGTCTCTGTCGAGTCATGCCATTCCGAGAAAATTTATAAGAAGGCTTGAGGCACATACCATGATTGCGATCGTAATTCAGATGTCAATACATCAGGATCGTAATCCTGATCTTAGTCGTGAAACCACCTTAAGGACTACCCCTTTTTGAGCATGCTCTCAAACCACATAGAGACACAAATTCCAGTTGAATAATTGTTGGTATAATTTGGCTTATTTTTTTTCTCCTTCTGTTTGGCAGCCTGGATGCTCAGAAGAATTTTCTGCGAGTGAGATTGCAGATGCTCAACTCGTGCAGATCAAGGTACTCTTCCTGTGTTTACGCTGAAGTTCGAAAACTGCTTTCTTTTTCCGACTCAGAATTCTACACGGAGAATTGATCAACATCTTTAGTGGATAGATCATTTTACTCGCAGCAATTGTTAAGTCTGTAACATTCAGGTTTTTCTCTTAATCCGTCTTTCAAAAGCATGAAGATCGCCTCTGGTCGATCCTGAGAATAATGTGCATGTCTGCACTGCTGTCTTTGTAGATCACGGGAAGCTGGAACCTGATTGCCGAAGATTATATCGTGAATGAAATAAGGACAGAATCTAAGGGGAATGTCCACGATGCATCAGTAGAGGAGCCGCCAGCTCATGACGAGCCTGATTTGTCCCAAACTTTGCTGCCGGACCAACAAGTCCTAGATGTCGGTGGGGAAGGGTGGAACATCTTGGCTGCCAAGTTCTGGTTGAATCTGCTGGGCAACAACGCGAGGAGGGGACAAGTTGCTAAGAGAACGTCTAAGGCTGATAGGGGAACAGACACTAGCACAACACCTATTGTACCTGAAGAAGCGAGTAGCAAGCTGGCTAGTCGAGAAAGTAGTTCTGAAGAGAGCGCTGGACTGGATGGAAGTCCTCGACCCCTTACTGGACCGGGTAGGGGTCCGTTAGGAACGGCTTTGCTGCACTATATTGCTCGATGGAGTAGCTATTTTGGAGTCTTGTCGGAGAGAGCAGAGCAGAGTATGCTCCACTTTTGGCAAATTTGGGTGAGTTCTCTCCTTCGGTTGCTCTTCTGTATCCTCTGTGCCAGCTTGGATCGTCCTAATTAAATTATTACCATAACCAAATCATTACCATCTTTCAAATCTTAGGAATATTGTTTATGTTATGGAGTGAATTTAGCCGGAAGTAGGTTTTGTCGATTGAAGATATCCTACTAGAACTCTTATAGTGTTTTAGATGTTGTGCGGGTTCTTGACTCCGTACTCATGGCAATATGAACACAGTCTGCGAAGATACTTGGCGGATGTTCGAGTCTATAATCTTGCACTTGTAATACCCACCGTTTAGTCAACCAGGAGTAAAAAGTTACGTGGAGGACATCGCATTTCATATTCTTGTTCTATGAGATTGAGGTGGTTGAATCTGATGAGTTGATGAAAACAGAGAGTTGCGGGCTGGGAGCCATTTACAGCGTCTCCTAAAGGTGATCGTCGTAGTGTGGCGTGGAACAAGCTTGATTCTGTAATTGGTGTGTATTCCTTCATTTTCTTCAGAGAGAAGAGTTGTCACAACTCCAACCCTCTTCTTGTTGAGAGCCCCTGAGATTCTGCAGATTGCAACGCTTGTGAGCAAGAGCCAGATAGTCATGTTATCATACTCTCGATCGTTGTAGCCTTGGCGGACGTGTGTGTGATCAAAACCTGAAGTGTTGGAGAGCTAATATTCCGAGGGCACTTATCAACATAGAATTACTGTCAAATTGCAGTGGATCTTACGGAGAAGAGAAGGAAGGTTCTTGATCCGACTTACCTGTACAGTGTAGAAAAGGTTAGTGTTTGATCGTTCCCGTTGTGTCACAACAGAGTGAGATCGTCAGTCATTGTTCTTTAATTTTGTCAGATACATCTGGGTCTTTTTACATTCTGGCGTAAGAATGCACAGTTGTAAGCTTCTTATGATGCTTTCTTTTCTTATACATTGCAAGCTTTTTCTTGTTGTATGATGAACTCAGTTGCAAAGAGGATGATACAAACGCTTGTTTTTGGAACAGGGTTACCTCATGCTCTCTGAAGGAGCCAAGTTTCACCACAATATAAAAACGGTCAATGTCACTATTTCAGCACAGAACGCCTGCTTCGGAAATAAGTATGAAGATCTATTAATAGGTTTTTGTGGATAGATGGATATGGAAGCCTGCCAAGCTTGTTGTGTAAATACAAACAATATGGTGGACTTGTTCATTTTGGCGTGTGATCTCACAGATGTTCATTATCTTAATGGTCGTTGTCTATCTTGTTTTCCCGTGTCTCAAATAATTGCATCCACTATCTTAACATGAGCTTGCATGACACGCGTCAATAGTCATCATAGTTCTTGGTTCATTGTTGCCCTACAGTCATCAGCAGTCACTATGAATTTTTTCCATGTTTTGTGGCTCCTCGTGGTTTATCGACGGCTTTAGACGTCAGACTCAAAATATTGTGTGTTATTTGTAGGTGGCAGCAACTCCTGATTGACAACTTCGTAGGATACGACACAATTCTGATGAACAGTCTACTAAATGCCCGAGAGAAAGGTATATTAGCGGTTTGAAAGGGCCTGCTGTTTACAAGTATCTGGAGGCTTATGGTTAGGGAGTAATAGTCCTAGTGCATTTATCGCCATATAGTCTTTCCATGGTTGCAAAGTCTCTAACATGTAAATGGTGTGGAGACATCAGGTTACCTGTACAATTTCCAAACGAAGGAGCTGTACAATCTGAACTATCTCCAAGAATTTAGTGGCGTTCCACACGGATTTGAAGGTCATAAAACGTTCCCCTGCCCTACGTCTTCTTTACTTCGAAAGTTCTCTTTGGATGGCGTAAGTTCGTAGTGATTTGTTGTAGCTGTCAATGAAGTCGGAGATATAGTAACAGTGGTAGGTCGTGTGCTTCGAACCGCGAGCAGACTCCATCTAATTTTCGGCAGTTAAGCTTTACACCGAGGGCTAATAGCAAGATCCAAATTAAATTTAAAGGCTGGTGTGTACAAAGTTAGTGTTGTTGTCTTTAAATAATTTTTTCCTCGCTCACACTGCATTTCTTCGTATTTCTTCTGATTTTGATTGTCGTGTCATCGTGCAGATTATATTGTTTTCAAGTGTGGAGTACTTATCACATCTCTTTTTGTCTTTTTTACCACGACGATGTCCGTGTCATTTACTTTGCGAGAAACTCAGGCTCGAATGTTGAAATTTACTGGTATGGCTTGTGTTCATGAAGTAGGAGCTAGACAATATATCATAGCAGTCCTCTCAGTAGGGTAGCCTTTGAAGTAAAATATCTTCTTGAACAAGTGCTATATCATCAAGCCCGTCGCTTTTGAAGCCGTGACTGCTAATAAAAACTAGCACGGAAGCTTGCCAGCTTTAATCCTTTTTAGAAAAAATTTGTTGTAAGATATGAGACGGTCTTGTTGAGCACTAACATGTGTTTCTCCACAGTGCAATTGCAGCATCATGCCCGTCACCGCCTCCCAACGTACCGCCTGATCTTTGTGCACGTTATTGAGTCCCTTGTCTTTGTACCGGTGAGTTGATGCATATCATGTTCCTGGCCGAGTGTATGTGAGTCAACAGAGACCTTTCTGGACTAGCTCCTCCATACCGCTGTGTTAGTTTCCCCAGCAATCTCATCTTGATAGCTGGTCGACTTGCTGTAGCTTCAAACCCCACCGCTCTTCTATTCCTTGTTTTTGTTTGCAGTTTAGCATTCATTCACTTGCAGTTTATTTCAGTCATGATAATCATCGGCTTTTGGATTCTTGTCTTCATGCTTTTTTTCCAGGTGATATACGTTGTTGGCACCCTTGAGACGTACCAGCTAGACTAGAGCTCCTTTGGTCTCTTGCATGCTATGCCCCTGCGGTTGGTCACGGACTATATTATCCATTGGCCATATTTCTCCTCTTGTGAAGCCAAGTTCTTTTACAAGATGTCGATGTTTTCCATTGTGTTTGCAGATCATGATAGGGATACTGTTTTTCCTTTTCGAGTTTTTTGACGACCAACTCCTTGCGTTCATGGTTCTCACCCTTGTTTGGCTCTGTGAGCTGTACACGATGATTAGGTACGCATTCTATTCTGCCTGAAGCTTATTTCAGTAGGCCTGCTGATTAGGCTGTTCCAATTCAAGGTTGTGTTTGTTCCTGTCCGTCTTGAGAGGCTTACTTATTTCCTTGCCTAACTTCTAATACAGCAATCCTGCATGTATCTTTGCCGGTGCAGTGTGAGGACGCCGTTATCAATGCAATATTTTCCACGTTTCTTCTTCTTGTATTTTATGGTCTTCCACATCTATTTCTTCTCCTACACCTATGGTAAGAAGGGCACAAATACGAGGCTGAATTTTTCACCTTGTTATACAGATGTTAGATTTCTTTTCCTTCTATGCCTATCCGAATGTACATCGAGATTTCCAATCATTTTGAAATTGCATCAAGTCACTTTATTTGCCTATTCGTGATTGGTATTCGAGCTCTAATTTTGGACGTGTATTGTGTGTCTTGGATATACAGGATTTTCTTATCTGGCATTTTCTGCCACCGCCGCTTTCATGCAGCATCTAGTTTTGTACTTTTGGAATCGATTTGAGGTGCGGCTTGCTTTGTCTTGTCTTTCTGCTTCAGGTGGTGTTGGTACTAATATCATGAAATAGAATGATTTTTATATTTATGTTTTGGAGGAGGTCTTCTCGCGCAAGTCTTGTATGATCAACTATCAATTTATTTTGATATCCTTGTGTCGACTGTAAAGCTATCCCTGCATGCTTAATGACAATGTCAAGTTTTATCGTTCTCAGTCACATTCAGTGTACAAATTATGTATTTGACTGATGACATATGATGGAAATAGGTGCCCGCTTTGCATCACTTTCTAAGGAGGAGGGCTCTTCTACAACAGCAGGGTCTGCATATCACTTCCTCTGCCATACTCACGTCCGCTGTACAAGTTGCCCGATTGAGTGGTGCAGGAGATGTTCGCAACTTTACATTTAACCCCAATAATCCCAGAGGAGGGTTTGAGGTGAGAGGTCCTGTAAATGATGCGCCCCTGCACACTATGCCGGACAGAGATATTACCAGGGAGGGCGGAGGCCCACGATCGCCAGTTGACAGTTACCCTACATCCGGTAGGACTCATGTGAGCTCTGTCGATGTGAATACTGGTCTCAGTATCCTTGTTGCCAATGCTGCAGCACGAGAGTCTGGCTTGGACAGAAGTTTTGGATTGGGCACCAGAATAATCGACTCTGACAGGCAGCAGCATCCTCGGAGTGACAGCGAGGGTGTTAGTGGTAGTAGCAATAGAGGTAGGAGTAGTGTAGCTAATAATGAAAGTGGAGAACCTGAATCAGGAGTGCCAGTGCGCACAACATCTGGCCCTTTCAGCTCTCTTGGGAATGTGTTGCCATGGCTGTTGGGACACAGTAGTGGAAATTTGGTTTCTTTTCTCCCCATATTTCGTGACTTTCAAGATAATCAGGAGTTTGGTACTTCTGCAGTTACCACCGACCAAGGAGAGGATGGTATCATTCAGAGGCCCACGCCTATAGGAGTGACTAACGAGACCATAATTAGGTCACGAAGGCGGGGTACTACTACCTCACAATAATCATGGCTTAGTCTTCAAACGGTGAATTATAGAGAAATTTTAGGTTACACCTTTTTTCCCCCAGCTGGCGAACCTTTCTAGAGAGATCTAGGTTCGGTTTGATGTACCCTGCGTCCCTATATCCGAAAAGCGCTTCTTCCGGAGGTGATGAAGTAGGCTTTTTGGTTCCTGCTATGTTCCATTCATAATCCCCACCTGAACCTTATTGGAATTTGGTCCAATCATCTCAGAGAACTGACTGGGACTAACTGGGAGGCTCCTGTAAAAAGATAGACGCTCTTTAGTACGAGTTTAAAGCCACATTCTGTTCTTGGGGAGTCTTTACCTCTATAGACCTGAAGGCTGGCGCAATTGACGACATGATGTACAAAAGAAGGAAGTATGGCTGTCAGTCCTGGCCAAATAGAACCAGAGCTCTCGAAGGTGTACATTATTATTGCTATCCCTATCTGATGTGAAGATAGTTTGGATACTACTGTATTTCAAATGCTGCGAGCCATTCCTAATGTGGATCATTTGCGATCCCTTCGACCAAGGTGTATCAATGACACAGATTGATTGGCCTATTGGATACGATATATAAATTTTTTATGCCTTGGACTTGAAGCGATTGATTACGTTGGTCTGTCGGCATGTTATGAAGGATCTGTGTGGAACTTTGAAAGTTTTTGTAGATTTTTTTGTAGTTTTTGTAGATTGAGGCTTTGAGAATGTGAAATTATCTATCCAATTGATCTGTTGCTGTGAAGTATGTAAACATGTTAAGGCACCTTTGCCGCAGAGTACTGCTGATTAAATTTGTTGTTGCAGATAAGCTCAGTCTGAAAGCTTAGGCTGTTTTGGGCAATTAATGTATCAAAACTTTGTCCTAGAATTTAAGTTAATATCAATATCAGCGCAGTCTTAGACATGAAGTGGTTTGGAATGGTTCTTATGCACATCAACATATAATTTATTTTTGTAATCTGCCTTGGGTTTCCTTCCCTCAAACCATGGACAGGTATGTTACAGTTTGGGCACTTCACATGTCTAACCGTTCTAACCATCTTCATTGCTTGCAGGTCACAAAGAAAATGCGTGCCGCAGGGTCACATTTTCAATGATGAGAGTTTGCCGCTCGTATGAGTTCTTCACCTGATCTATTTAAATAAATACCTCATGAGTAATATGGGAGTCATCTCTCCGTTGTACCATGGGGTGCTTCCCATTGTTTCACTGTCTTTCGTGTCCATGACAACTGATGAAAATAAGTAGCCTCTTTTTTAATTCACTTGTTTATAAATCCAAACCGAAGAAGAAATGACAGGTTTTTTACTACTCGGCACAAAAGGACTGCCCGATAGGTGTATTGACCCGAAGAGAATCCTCCTGTTGACAACAATCAGTATGCTTGAAGGTAACCGTTGTCCACAGAGAAGGTGCACTTTATCCTATTCTGTAATGCAGGGCGCTTAATCTGTGTAATGCATGAGAAGATGCAATTCATCGCTCTCCTTTTTGTTTTTGTTTGTTTGTTTTAAAAAAAAAGTAATTTAAGCAAATGGAGATTCTATTCCACTGGAAAGTAGATCAAAACACCATCGCAAAACCGAGCAAGCCGGGGCAAGCTTGCAGTACCGACGTTGTTGTGTCTGCCTAATAAGCACCTGGAGACTACTTAATTACCTAGGACAAAACGAAGCCAGTGCTGGTCTCTCGTAGTTACAGACTACCTATGCATTGCGCTGGGTGAAGAAGAGCCCTGCGTTATCCCACATGTAGCGAAACTTGCGAGTTGCATTGGGCACTCCTTGTGGCCGGTTTCTCACGCACCATGTGATTTTGGCGATTTTGGCGGATGCAGTTCATGCCAAGTCAATGATCTCATATAAATACAAAGCCGTTATATAAATATAAATCCGTTGCTCCAGAAGAGCTGGGTCCATCTGTGATTGTGGAAGATGAGTTGGTTCCGCTGAAGCCATATCACCCACAGTCCCGCGCCCCTGATGAGTGTCCACGGTTCACCCACAGTCCCGCGCCCCTGATGAGTGTCCACGGTTGCGCTAGTGTTTGTAACGGCAAAGGAAGTGCAACTCCGAAGATGCATTGCTCCCACGAGAGGATGGTGGGTCATCGCATAGTTCCATGCATGTTCGGCCTTCGTGCATGTGAAAAAGCTACGGAGGAACGATTCTGATTCACCTAAATCATAACCGGAACACAATTCAGAAGCCTGGGCAAATGCGCGGTGACGCCATTGGTTCACTGCAATAGCTCGATGATATATACTCCGTAGAAAAGCCGCTTCCTTTCACGGACAAGTGCTTGTCCACACATCTTTCCAGTTCGGGGTGAATGCAGTCGGCAAAATACGTGTACTTTCTCTTGAAAGGTCAAGGACGAGTGAGTTACTGGGTGATGCATGAATTTTTCCTTTTTCGATGTGTAGGAGTAAAGCAGATCGCCGCCATGCCAACTCCATCGACGGGAGTCAAACACCATCATGCACAATGGAGCCAGTTTGACGAGAGGCCTTGCATTGTTGAGGGTGGCATGATATGGTGATAACTGTAATCCGCAAAAGGTGGTTCCGATTGATTTGCTCCTCGGTTGGAGGAATGAATAGGGAGTAAGCGTATCGATCTGGCGCCTATGTAGTACCTGGGGTACTTGGCTGGAATGACAGTGGCGGACACACATGTGAGAATGGGAGGCAGAAAGTTTTGAGTGGCTTGAATGATGAGGATCGGGTACTCTAAAGGTTGGTCGTGAAAGATGCCAAGCCAACCATGTCAACCGTTTGGGATGCTGTTTGATGGAAGATGCCGCTTTATGCTGATGGAATGTTGTTGTGATAGTTTTCAATCAGCACTTGTTTGGTGGCCAACCATCTATATCGGGTTTGAACTTGGACCCATGTACGAGGAATGAAGCTCTGATCCTCGGAGTTTCTGAAGGCCTTGATTGGCCAAGACGCGCCCCCCGATGTTTCATAAATCCAAAATTGGATTCCACCAAAGCTGAGAATTCAACACTTCATCTGCATTCACTGGTTGGACCTGCTTAGGCAGTGGGCTGGTTTGTCGCCACGACATGCGTTTCCAAATAGGGGATCCTCGAGTAGAAGAGAACTGGATCAGGAATGCATATTGGAGTCTTCCAAGCTAGTTGGTGCAATTTGGTGGGTGAAACCTCGTAAGTCGGTGACGCATGAGAATGCTCGTTGGGGCATCACTTGGAATTGTGAACTATCCATTTGTTTGTTAGAGTTGTCAAAGATTCTCGGGGTCAATTAGTTCGAGCCCTCTTACAAGCTTGCATGCGCTGCAATCTGTCCACCTTACCTGAGCTCTAGAGTGTTCTTCATTTCCTGACCACAAAAAGTTTATGAGTGATGCACTAGTGTTAAGAATCATCTTTGAGTTTCCTCATAGACTGAGGAAATACCACAGCGTTCACAATTACAGCCCGGGCTGCTAGGGACAAGTCAACCTTCGTCCAATATCTCAACTTGTGATCAATCTTGGTTGCAAGGAAAGTGTCAACGTCATTGGTGGCGAGCAATATATCAATTGGAGTCTTGAGCAATTTTGTGAGTGAATTGGGTGGAGCAATCTCGCAGCCGAAGCTCCTTGGCCAGAGCGGTGAAATGTCTTGGCCATGTCAATATAAAGAGCACTTCTCTTTGTTGACCAAACTCCTCCAATAAGTTGGAGAGTGCGAGTAAGTTCAGTTTTATTTCCATAATGGAGTAAGTAGTGTTGTCGGCAAATTGCGAAAACACTTGCTGAGTGGCGCCATCTGGAAGCAAAATCTTGCGCACCCACGTCGATGGATCTTCATCGGTGACGGTGGCTAAAGCTTCTACTACAATTAGGAACAAACAAGGGGCGAGAAGGCATCCCTGCCGGACCCCTCGCATGATAAGGAACTCCTTCATGTTGAGTTTGTTGATGAAGACGGCGGGTAAGGCGTTCGACATCAAGATTTGGACCATCTTCATAAAAGCTGTTGGGATGTACCTTCTTGTCATGGCATTGAACATGAAATTCCAACTCACGGTGTCAGACCTTCCGAAAGTCCAATTTCAGCATAATAAGCTCTTGATATGATTCGTGAGCCAAGCAACCGTCTTGTGTTGAACTAGGAAGGCATCGAGAATGTAACGTGACGGCAAGATAGCCACTTGCCCTTTGTAACCTAACCTCCGATAAAAACGTTTGAAGACAAAACTAAAGTACTTTCGCCAATCATTTTTAGGAAGTATTCAATAGCATGATTGGACGTCAATTCTGAGAAAATTCCAAATTTGCTTCTTTTGGAAGAAGAACCACTGGAATGGTATTCATGCCTGCCAGCAAGCATTAAGTGGTGAGAGGATTGGAAAGCATTTGACAGAATTCGGATCCTAAAAAGTTCCAAAATATCAAATAGAATTCCGTTACGATTCCGTCGGGGCATGGATTTTTTCCCGCTGCCATTTTTTTGGGTGCCGCTTTGACTTCCGGTTCTTCTGGAATCTTGCCTAGTTCTTTGAGGATGGCAAGCGGGAATTTGAAGTTGAAAGATGATGAAATGAGTCTGAGGAGGGTAGTTTCGGCTACTTGATGACCAGCCGTTGGCTACGGAGCAACGTAGAGTTCCTGGTAGTAAGATAGAGTTCGGGCTTCGAAGAAGTCTTGGTAGCTAAGTCAATTTCCAGCTTGATAGTGGAGGACATTGATCCGAGCCGATGAGCCATGTTCAGGCACCGTTCTAAAGAATTTGCGGCAGACTTGAATACTACGATGGTTTCCATCTGATACTATAGCTTGTCTTCTGAATTGCCAGTTTTTTTTCCTGTATATTTGCAAGACGGGTGCGTCGTGCACCTCTTCGTTAATTAGAAAGGTATTCTCGGGAAATTGCTGCATGCGCTTGGTTGCCTTGTCAAGCTCCGTTGTCAGCACATCTTCATATGTTTGAAGTTTTGCTGCTTGAAGGCGACACAAGTGCCGATATATACCTTGCAAAGTTTAGCGAAGAACAAAGATTTTTACAATAAGCTTGAAGACAAATCTTATGAATTGTGGGAGCCGCCGCTTCCAACTAGTACTCATTTATTTTCCAATGGGGTTGTCTCTGCGATTATTCAGCAAGCTTGATCCATGCAAATACAAGATGGTGATCGAACCTTGGGAGGTTGATGTTGATGTTGATGTTATATTGGACAAGAACTCGTGCCAAAGTAGATGTTTGAGCACAAAATAAGTACTAACGGTACAAGTGCGCTAAAGCTCGTTCACGCCCCAAACGATTGTTGTCCCATGAATATTTCAATCTACCAGCTGAACAAAAATTGTCATCAATGTTCAAAGCCGACTTCATAGCATCAAAGAGGGCTCTTTCCCGATGGGGGATCATCGTAGCTCCTTGACGCAATTTATCAGTCCATCCCTCCACCACGTTAAAGTCGCCTAGCAACATCCAGCGGCATGATTGGGGAAGATTGTTTGCCAAAGATTCCCACATGAGACACCAATCGGCCTTTTCGGTCGGTGCATAGATATTTGCCAGTCCGATGTCTCCACCAGGAATTCCGATTAATATCATCCATTGGACTCTATTATCAACGTCTGTGGCCAAGCGTGGGTTCAATAGGGTGAGAACATCTCCACATCCTGGATACCCATGTGCGCCGATGTCCTGTTCTTCGTGGTCATATCCAAAGGATGCTTCGAGATCGTAGCATGAAGATTGTAGGCAAAGTTTTGCTCTCAGGTTTTGGCTTTTTGAAATAGTTTAACAATTTCTCCGACCTTGACAATGTGTGAGATACATTTTTCTTTCTCCTATAGCGGGCGTAATAGTAAACACTGTCTACAAGACACCCGCAAATTTTGTGTACGCGGACTAAACAATGCGATTCGCCTTAAATTATTGCTGCACGAGTGGACCAAAACGTTTAGCATTAAGTTGTGAATTTTTTGACTCGAAAGTTACATGAAAATTAGAGACTCAATAACCACAAATGAATAGTAAATATCACTAATCAATGTATATAAATTATCTTAAAACTTGATGACTTGTAGTTTGTTTTGAATATTTATATGAAAAGTCCAAATGAAAATGCTCAGATATCTTTCGTGTCAGATTGCAAATTATAAATCGGTCACAAACTGTGTTCAGGTGTGTAAACTAAGCATACATAAGTATGTCTGCTCAATGAAATGCAGATTCTTAGTTAATTTTTTTATCTTCAAATGGTCTAGAAGAAGTTTGTACTGCAAATTTTAATGTCTCTGATGACATAGTTAATATGATAAGCAAATTTATTGTGTGAGTTTGAACCATATAGAAAGTTATATGTATATGATACAAATACAACAATACCTACAAAAATCCATTTCTCTAATCTAGTCCACTGCAAAAAAAGAAGCATTTACATCTTATGCAGTCCAAAAAGTGGATTTGAAATTTTAACTGGGAAAGAGAAAAATCTATGTGTTTATAGTGCATTAATTTCGAATTTTATACCTGTAGACTAGTGATGAAAAAATGATGAAACTACATTTAAGAAACACAAAAACACTTTAAATGTATGACTAGCTCTTGATAACGCAAACTTAAGATTTCTTAGTAAAGTCTTAAGGTCATAGTTTTCTTCTTTAGTAATACGTTAATTCTAATCAGTCTAATTAATGAAATGAATTAAAAAGACTTGAATCAACTCTTTACAATATGTTTTTTCATTCATATCTTGATAATTTCTACTACCAATGTAATTACTTTGGAATCTAGAATATGCAATTTTATAAAACTGGAGCTAAGGTATAATAACAAGCTTAGAGTAAACTCATATATCTTGAAATTGCAGAGGAAAAGTCTAATTTAATTTCTTTTGTAAAATTTGTATAGAAGTATAATGTTTTCTAAAAAAATTTGAAGTTATATGATGATAAAAATATCATTTAATAAGAATAATTTTGATCAACATATAAATTAGATTGAGTTATAAATTTTTTTTTGATTTTCGTAGTTTTCTTTTAAAATAATATCTATATTAAAAAATCATATCTGAAGTATTGCAAATATATGATATATTTAAGTATAAATTAATTTCTTCGTTACTTTTGCTTGCCATTGCATATGAAGTGTGCTTTTTTGTTAAGTTATGCATTTCTTAGTAAATCTTTAACAAATACATCCATATCCAATTTTGAACACATACCAAAATTTATATTTTTTTGTCCAGTCACTTCTAGTACGTTGTCCTACCACGAGTATCCTGTGATTTCTGATGGATTCTGCACTGAGAACTTTGATGTGGGTTCCGAGATCTTATATATAGTACATACCTAGACATACTGATAATATTCTTAAAAAAAGCAGGAAATTTATAGTTTTCTTTGTATATTTAAAAATTCATATACAAATCCTTAATGCATATCTCTTGATTTTGACATGTAACTCTTATATAGTTCATAACTAGAGAAATAGCATATCTAGTGAAAACTATCAAATATATATAGCAACTCACTATCTTATCATAGCAAATTCATTATATTTCTTCTCTCTCCATAGCCATAATTGGACATTGAGTATATTAAAATTTGCAGAATGTATTGAAGTTGTTGTTCAGAACTCCCAATAATTGGGACAAGCGAACATATGTACGGTGATTAACTTTGGATAATTGAAAATATAATAAAATTTTACACAAATTACAAAAAATTTCATTGAGACAGCCTAGTATACATGATTATGCAATATAGTACTAGATATAGCGTACTACTTTTCTGAAATATGTATTACACCTTTAGAATGTGAAAGAGATTCCGTGTTCTCTAAGTGGCATGTCCATCTTCTTACTCCCGGTTTTTCTGAATTCTCTTGAACTCCTCCGCTTGTACGCTCATAGCCTATGAGTCATAGCTCATGATTAGAAAAAAAAACAGTACATGAGATACAGTTTTGATTTATGTGGAAATGCACGCTATCTGGAAATTTTCCAAATTTCTTCGGAAAATTTCCAAAGCATCGGTAATGAGATTGTTTCAGCGTGTTAGCCTCGTATGAGCCACTTAGAATTGAACCTCAGCCTATAACTGGGTCTACTCTGCCAGTCGCATGTAGCGGGTTGCCGTAGACTCTGAACCGCGAGACAGAATTCTTTTCTTCGATGCGCCTTCATCTCGAGATTCGAGATACTGACTAGGCACCAGGTGTCACCTGCCAACAAAGCAGCTGCGAGCCAGGATGGAAGTTCTTGCGACATACAAAAAGGATTTCATGTCCACGTTAGACTCCTCCTGGTTCAATACGTGGGCCCAGTACAGTCGACGCAGGTCCAGATCACGACCACAATCGCGAGTCATTCGGACGATTCCCCGACTTGTTCGATCGGCAGAGTTCATTCTGGTTTGAATGTGCTCGGTCTCGTGGACGCGCCGATATGGAGTCAGTTGGATGTGTTTAAATTTGTCGAATCGAGGGTGGCGATCTCGCGCGTCTTCTTTCTTGAGGACAGGCATCTGAAGCTTCCTATTCTTCAATTCCGGCGATTCTTCGCTTTGTCGAGTTTGTCGTAAGTACTGACTCCATCCGTGCGCGAGTCTTGGAATGAATTTGTTTGAAAGAGGTACAATTTTGTGACAGACGATGATTGCACAGCCTTTTACAGTGGCTGTCGATTGGATGGTAAGCTGAGCCAGGTGCGAAAAGATACTTTCTCTGAAAAATTGCAGTTCCGGAGATCGAAAGTTGGACTTCAGCAATTAGATGGAGTGAATGTTGGAGTGCTCGATTGCCTGGCGTTGTCAGTGTTGAGAGGGTTGAACACAGTAGCTAATTCGCGAGAATGTCCTGCAGGGAAACGATGTTTGGCAGTAGATGGCGCAGTGTTTTCCATAAAGCCAGCGGAAGTCTTCTTCGTCATCACCGTGCAGCTGGCACATATGTTTTCAGTGACGTGAAGGCAGAACTTGTCAAATGGTAAGTCGGGCGAGACGGCAAGGAATGTAAGCAAAATGTGGAAAGGCCAACTTAGCTTGTAGCTGCTAGCGTGATCGCACTGAAGGACGTCGACACTTTTGGCTATTAGTATAAGTCGTTCGAGTAATTGTGCTTAGCATTCTGGAAGTTTTGGCCGCTCCGATTGAAGCCCGTGAGTTTGTTTCGATCATGTGTATTATATCAATGGTGGTTGTCCGACCATCTATGGTTTGTGATGAGAAGCCCGAGTTTGATAATAAAATTTAAATGCTCTTAAGCTCAAGAAATACATGAATTTATCGCAGCCTGTTAATAATGAATTTGATTGGATCTTACGCAACACCATGTGTTTATCATATTATGCTTAGTCGACTGGAAATTGGTAACGTGTCTCAAAAACTGACAGTAGTGCAATAAGTGAGTTTGATGAGACGGTGTGCCTTTATGCAGCAAATGGGATGCCATTGTTGTCGGAGGCGGGCACAATGGGCTTACTGCCGCTGCTTACTTAGCTCGAGCAGGGGTCAAAGTCGCTGTTTTGGAGAGAAGGTCTGTGCTGGGGGGTGCTGCTGTTACCGAAGAGATTTTTCCAGGATTTAAATTTTCACGCTGCAGTTATGTGCAAAGTCTCCTCCGCCCTACTATTATCAGGTGCACATATCTAAACGTTCATACTGAATTAGAAAGAGCTCTGTTCATCAGGAGCTTAGAGCTTTGCAGTAGAAAATGAAAAAATGTGCACTGCTTGGACTTCATTTCAAAATACGCCCTTTTGACCAGGGGGGATTTCCTTGTTCCCAATGCTTGCGCTAAGGAACTTTACCATCATAGTACCAAAAGTTGGACGGTCGAGGTGATCTTTACAACACAGTCCAGAAGAAGGTTGTCTGAGCAACGATTCGGTGAGTTTAGAGAATCTTAAATTCCAAAGTATCACCCTTGTCAAGGAAACAACATAATTTCTCTTTATACAGAACTCAGTTCCTACCAAGGGTTGCCGTGAAGATCATGGCCTCACTCTCTAAAAGAAGACACCTAGTGCAGTTTGTTCTTTATTTGTTGCTCTGTTTCGCACTTTTATGTTCTTTCTTCCTTTGATTTCGGATCCATTGATACGTGCCTTGAACTATCATCTGGCGTACATGGGTCTACACGAGTAAGGACTTGCATCTGAGTTTCATAACGAATTAGTAGATAGCAGGAGATCAACCTTATAGATATATCATATGAAATTATTGTCTCACATGTGTGCACCTCACCATTCGTAATTGTTAGAATACTGATTACTCCCTATTCCTTCTACGCTGCTTCTTGTGTAATCATTGTTAGACTGCAGCCCACTACGCCACTACCCCACTACTATTGAGGTGTCCTTGTCATCATTAGACGCCACTACCCTTCCCACTACGCGGGTGTAAATACCAGTTTCCCTTGTCACCTCGGATTGGGTACTTAAACCCAATCCAGGTCCTATGTATAACATAACTAAGATCTGCTCTCCAGTACTCAGTATCTGTGTATCTCGACTCTTTCTTGTATTGCCTCACTTCTGTTATGGTATCAGAGCGTTAGGGTTTAGAGTTCAGAGTTCGAAGATTTGTTCTTTGAAGATTCACTTCGGCAGAACGTGAAGCTCAGCACAGAGTATAGTTCGAGTTCAGGGAGATGACTTCTCCTAGGGTTTCAACCCGGTTCGCATGGAAAGAGCTCCCCCTCCCCAAATTCAGTGGGGAACATTTCCATGCATGGAAGGGGAAAATTAGTTTAATCCTTCAACTGGAAGGACTAATGGACATCATGGAAGGGGTCGAAGTCAGGCCAAGCACTCCACCGGGGTCTACAACAAGAACTCCAGAGTCAGGCGCTGGCAGTAAACAAGAATGGGATGTCAAAAATCTCATGGCCTTGGCGGTGTTAAGTAACTCGTTGGAAGACCATCAACATCCATTGATCGCGCGTCATTCTACAGCTGCAGAGGCCTGGGCAGAACTGAATGCATTTTTTGAATCCCATGATGTACCAATGCAGATGCACTTGAGAGATTCATTGCATTCTCTCAAGATGAAGTCAGGCGAGTCTGTAGCGAAACATATCTCAAAGTTTCGTCTACTTCTTCACCAGTTGTCATAATATCAGCAATCATTTCTTCTGTTGGAACATAAACTAATTTCACCAAGTTATTGGTAACCAGATCTCTGACAAAATGGTATCTAATGTCAATATGCTTAGATCTCTCGTGACTTTTGTTGTTCTCTATCTGTGACATGGCACTTTGGTTGTCACAGATAGAGAACAACAAAAGTCACAAGAGATCTAAGCATATTGACATTAGATACCATTTTGTCAATAGTAATTAAATGTAAGCATTACTGTATTTATGAGCGATCATGGTATCATGGTTTTAATTAACTTGTGAATATGTTCCCAGGGACCTACAACTTTTCAAACATGGGCTGAAGTTGCTGCCTCGAGTTCCATCTTCATTCACGCCGACTACCGATGGAAATTCGTTGCTCTTGGGAGCAGATATGGAGTTCAATCAGTCGCAGATTTCGAAGTTTTCGAAACACGACGCATCTGCTTTTCCAGGGTAAGAAGCAAGTATTAAATTCTTGTATTGCATTCCACGTAATGCATGCAAGACCTGGAAGTAAGGTATGGAATAGTAAATGGAGTTGTCTGACAGAACTTCCCACAGGGCACCGGTTGACCAGTGAAGAAAATTTAAGCAACTTGCGGTTTCAAATCACTTTGCAAGATGTTTGATTAGCCAAAGTGTATGTAGTTATGTGGAGCAGCTGGAAAGGTTTTGCGCTATCATGGATCCTCTACTCGATGTCGCACCTCCGGAGAAAAGAGTGGGCCGAAGTATTACGCGAGGAAGGTTATGGGAGGGACTTGAAACCACGAAAGTCTTTGCTGGACTTTTGCGGCGCTTCGCAGCAGCTGGGCCGGCAGACACCCTGTCAGTATGCATTCAAACCCTTTCAGATGGTAAAATTGGAACTGTTACGGATGGAAGTCGTAGGAGGCTTTGGAACGGACTTGCTTCAGTTACCATTACATCCAACAAACTCGCTTTCAGTTGAGATATTTCTATGTAGAAGTAGACCTTAGCCGGCTGTAACATTAAGGGTGTGTTCGGACATTGTTTTACTAAACACCTTTTCTTCCTTCAATCCCGTGAAGGCCATTTAATTAGGTGCCACTCAGTAATTTGTGATGGTTTTGAATGCTTTATGTGATCAGGGCATTTATGGAATTACTGCTTGCTCCAGCTTCAAAAGTTCTTGACGGCTGGTTTGAGGTAAATTTTTTTTTCAAACCAGTTTCCATGATCCATTCATTCTGCTCATAAAGTTGCATCTCTGTAGTTGATGAACTAGCTGAACACATCTCTACAATGACTTTCCTCATGTCTTCACATAAGCATAAATATTGTTGTGTGCTAAAAAATCCAGGCAAATTGAACATGTGAACTTTTTCTCTTGATTAACACATTCAGGATAGCTTGCATCACTGTAGATGGAAATTACAAAGACTTTGTAGAAAAACAACCAAGATAACTTTTGAGCGAGTGATGTATATCTTGTTACTTCTCAATGAGTGACCATGATGACATAGTCTTAGTTGCACTAGTACGTTATCATCGATTAGACTTGTGATTATGTGTGCGTCACGTACGAGCGACTCATTTACATCTGTGTTTTTGCAGTCAGATATTTTGAAGGCTACGTTGGCTACAGATGCGGTTATTGGAGCAATGGTTTGTACTTCAATTTTATTAATGCTCACTGTTTTAACCTGCTGAAATTCCGGGAGAATCTGCTTTACGTCCAATATATATCATGAGTTTTTACTGTCATATATGGAAGTTGATTGAGAAAGCTTCAACGATGTGAATAAGGTTTCTAAAAACTGCATAGAGACATTCTTATCATGGTACCCAGGTCAGTGTTAAATCTCCAGGAACAGGTTATGTACTCCTGCATCATGTTATGGGAGAGACTGATGGTGCAAGAGGAGTATGGTCGTAAGTCGTTCATACCTGAATGACTCAATCTTGATTTGCTGTTTCTTCTTTAGAGTAAAATAGCTTTTGTCGGAAATGTCTCTGAGCAGGATCTGTGCACTATGCAGTCGGTATGGTAACCTACGCTCTTTAGCTAGTGTATTGTGAAGAATGCGTTTTCTGACCTTGATACCTTTGTCTTTCAGGGTAGATCTAGTTTGTCCATTAGCTGTGTTAAGTTCACTTGAGTTGAGCATCATTGAAATACAATTCAGCACGTAGTTCATGATTATTTTACCTTTTCTCTGCTGATAAATTTTTATCTCACCTCAAAGGTACTTGCATGTTATGTTTTTTTGTTATGATGCCATTGAAAGAAAATTTGCCATGTGATCAGCTATGTAGAAGGAGGAATGGGAGGAGTTTCTAAAGCATTAGCTGGGGCTGCAGTCGAAGCAGGGGCTACTTTGGTAACTGAAGTAGAGGTTATCAATTTCTATACTCTTCATTTTGTATGCAGTTCATTTGTTTCAGGCGGCTCTTAGGATCATATTTAAGATCAAAATTAAGGAAGTTGACATATTTGATCCCCTTCACGAGTCTAGCGGTTACTTTGGTGAGCATCAGAAAAACAGTCACAAGGGTAGCAATGCCATATTGAAGTGACGGAATGATCCTGCAATCGCAGGTCGAACATTTCAAGCTGAAAGCTGGTTCAGAAAATGAAGCTGTTGACGGGGTAGGTTCCAATATCCTCATATCTAGAGTTAAAACATTTTATCTTTCAAATGTGAGCAATCTAAGATTCCTACATTCACGTCTATCTTTGAATTTTGACTCATAAACTCACAAACTTGGCCTGCACTACTACCGTATGTTTTTTTAACTGAAAAGGATCAGTAGGTTGTGTTAGCAGATGGAACTGAAATCTTCGCCGATCGAGTCCTATCAAATGCTACACCTTATGTGACATTTCTGGTAAGGTGTCCAGTTTTGAGTCGTAAAATCTTGTTCCTGTTCAGAGGTCTTCTGGCCACCTCCTACTTGATGAAGAGTTTTATTGCAAGGTTCCTTCTTTTCTGATTTCCCTGTTTTTATGTCAGAAATTGTTACCTGCGGATGTTCTCCCCCAAGATTTCTTAAAGCGCATTAAAACTATCGACTACAAGTCGGTAATCCCAGAAACTTTCTTTTAGCGTCTGATATTTTATCTCGTGCTGTGAAACGTAATTAATCGTTATATTTGGTTGCGAAGACAGTATGGCAGACACAAGGTTACCTTTTTTCCCGATCCAGCCCATCCCAGTTCTCTCTAATATCATATATCGGAGAATCATTTGTGCATTTGAATAATGTGTTGTCAGATATTTGTTAATATAATACTTCATGGCTTAAGGTTCCTTCAGATTCTCCATGTTTTGTTGACATAAAAAACAGAAGAACGTCACCGCTTCGCAGAGAAATTAAATATGATGCCAGCAGGTCGCACAGACAAGTAGAGAAAACAAAGAAGTTTTCATTCTTGGTGTTAAACATCTTAGGTCTCATACGTCGCTATATGCGTTAATCCGGATGTTATATATGCTTGGCACATCCAGGGAACCACCAAAATAAACGTTGCCGTGGACTCGCTTCCCCTGTTTTCTGCTTGCAAGTCATCGAAAAATATTCCTGGACCAGAACATCAAGGAACAATTCACCTTGGAGCAGATAGGTGAGGGTTATAACCACAATTGAATTGGTTTTTTCCTCTCACGCTTATTCCTGAAAAAGTGATGTACAAGAGAGAGCTTCTGTGAAGATGTTTTTCTCGCTACGTCTTCGAGTTCCTACGATGTATCAGTAATTTGAATATGAATTGCTGTCTCCGTATTTTTGTACAAGCTACATCTTCTTCCTCACTGTACTCTTCTCTACTGCATAGAATTTCGCGTTAACGCTACTCTTCACATTCACAATGGAGCACAGATTAGTCGAGCTCGAGGAACAACTCGAAGAGATCTAACTTGCTGATCAACTGCAGTTATAAACGTTTGTTTATAAATGTTTTCACCGGCCAGACTAACAATCAACTGGGACTAAACCCTAAACCCTAAATCAAGACTAACGGAAAACAATCAACTGGGACTAAACCCTAAACCCTAAATCAAGACTAACGGAAAGAAATTCGGAGTTCCTTCTGCTTTTCTTTTGCTGGTGATTCCTTCCTTGGTCTGATTCTTTACAGACTTTGTATACACACTAAGTTTGATAATCATTTTGTTGTAGTGCACATCAGAGGTAACAGGATCTTGGTGTGTTTTGGGAAATGCACAGATTTAATCTCTGATCAGATAATAATATGAAACGAAATCTTGTTTATCCTGTACGTACTCCTCGTCGGTTCTCACGGGTGAAGGTGATGGGTTTATCCACCCAGCACTAGATGCCCACAAGACTGCTGCGAACAAAACCTTCTTACAAAGGGTATTTTGGGACCTACTCTGGATAATGCGACTGATGACAAGGAGGGAGTCTACTCGTTGAACCTGACAGATGCATCTTGAAGGGAAAGAATGGGAACGCCATTGCTCAGTGCATCAATGATAACAACCTGTTTAGGCTGGGAACGATTTCTTCCAACACACCTGCAGTTACTGCTGATGTTTGTTATTCGGCTTTCAACATTGAAGAGCTGGACACCTCCGTTGGCATGATTTTTGTGGTTCTCAATCTGTGAGATCGCACTTTGGTTGTCACAGAAAATAGTGGTCGACTCCAGCTCAAAACCTAGATCGGTTAGTAATTCTCTCAACCACATAGCTTCGGCTCCAGCGCTACTGACTTTTGTTTCTTTGATGTCCAACTAATGGTTCCGCCATTAAGTTGGAAACAATAACCAGACGTCGATCGTCTCGTGTCAAGGCAACCACCCCAGTCTGCATCAGAATATCCAGTTAAACCGGATGGTTTGTCAACCCTCATGAACACAAGGCCAAAATCGAGAGTTCCTTTCAGGTATCTGAAAATTCTCTTAACTGCCTTCCAATGTGTCAAACCATGATTTGAACTGAGCCACAGCATTGACAGCAAAAGATATATCGGGTCTAGTGCAAACCATAGCCCCTATCAAGCTCCCAACTGCAGCTTGATATGGAATATTTTTCACCTCTTCACTTTCTCCCACTGAATTGGGAGAGTCAAGCATACTTGACTTCAAACCGGGTTCCATGGGTGTATCAATAGGCTTACAGTCAGCCATGTTGAACCTCGCAAGCTTTTTAACTAAATATCGTGGTTGGGAGATTCGAATCCACCCTTCTTCACGATTTCTGGCAACTTGCATACCAAGACAATGATGGATCTCTTCTAAGTCCACCATTTTGAACTCCGTTTTAAGTTTCTCCTTGATCTTCGTGAGGAGACGCAATGAATTGCTTGCCAGTATAAAGTCGTCTACATACAGTGCTAAATACACAAATGCATTATCCTGAAAGTGAACGTAAACATTCTGATAAAATCAGAATGTTTACGTTCGAGTCAATCCTCTGGTACCATTGTCGTGATGATTGTTTCAGTCCATGAATGGACTTATTTAGTTTACACACCATGTTTTTCTCAGAAGAGATCTTCAACCCTTCAGGAATGGCCATGTAGACTTCTTCATCCAACCCCCGTTCAGGAATGCAGTTTTCACGTCAATCTGGTGCAGCTCTAAATTGTATTGAGCTGCTAGAGCCATTAACACCCTAATGGATGTCATCTTCACCACAGGGGAAAATGTTTCGGAAAAGTCAACACCATAAACCTGTGAATATCCTTTGGCTACTAACCTGGCCTTGTATCGATTACCAGAACCGTCAGACTTGTACTTGATTTTGTAAATCCATTTGCAGCCAACGACGTTCTTACCCGCAGGTAACTCTGTCAATGTCCAGGTGTGGTTTTTCTTCAAAGAAGAAAATTTGTTCTCCATAGCTTGTTTCCATGTGATGGAATTAGCATTTTGTAAGGCCTCTTCAGAAGAAGTAGGTTCTTGGTGAGTCTCCATACGAAAATAGACCTCGATGCTTCTTCCTCTTCTTCAAAAGTTGATCATATCTTTCGACACGTTTCCTTACTCTTTCCCCCTTTCGAAAGAGAGGATCGATGGAGTGGGAAGACGATGAAGCAGCCCCCGTAGCTGCAGGCGGGACTTCAGATGCAGTGTCGTGAATTCGGAGTTCTTCCAGTAAGTCTTCGAGGTTGCACACTGTATCATCAAGAGGAGCCGAAGAGAGAGAATTCTCCAGTAGTTTCCATGTGCGCCTCTGATAAGTCTGGCCAAAACGGGCTGGATAAGTTGCAGGGACTTCAGCAGTGGGAGGATGACTTACGGAGGAAGTGGAAGTTTCCAGTGGAACTCCCACTGCATGTGATGGTGTCAATGGACTGAATTCTCCTACCGCTGGTGGTCGTTCTGCTGGTAACCTCCTGAGAACTGGATCAGTCGATGGAGCTAGTGGAACAGGGCGAAAGGGAGTAAAACCTTCTTGCTCAGCAGGCGGAACAACTGATGCTTGTTGATGATGAGAGGTAGCTTCTCGAACTGCGAAAGGCATAAATCTGACAGACTGCGAAAGGCATAAATCTGACAGATCTGCTTTCAAGAATTTTGTGAGAGTCCTTACGCGATATCCTTTGGCTGTAGTAGAATAGCCAAGGAAAACACATTCTATACTCTTCGGGTCTATCTTACCCCGATGGCCCCTCTCAATATGAGCAAAGGCAGTACATCCGAAAACTTGTAGATTCCGCAGATCCGGCTTCTGCCCATGCCAAAGTTCGTAAGGGGTTTTGTTGTTGGGTAGAGCCTTCGATGGAGATCTGTTCTGCAAGTAAACGGCTGTATGGATGGCTTCGCCTCAATAGCCATGAGAAAGACCAGAATGTGTCAACGTGACAACAACAGAATCGATTAAAGTTTGATTCTTCCGTTCTGCTACTCCGTTTTGTTCAAAAGTATCAGGAATGGAAAATTGTCATTGTATGACGTGAAGTGTACCAAAATTAGTAAAAGCTTGAGATTTGTATTCAAGAGCGTTATCTGATCGCAGAACCTTGATGCGCTTGTTCAGGTAATTTTCAGCCATCGCTTTGAATTCCTGAAACTTGGCAAAGGCTTCAGACTTCTGTTGTATTAAATATTATCAGAAGTGAGGCAATACAAGAAAGAGTCGAGAGACACAGATACTGAGTACTGGAGAGCAGATCTTAGTTAATGGGGAGAGAACCCGGATGGGGAATATATACCCAACCGTGACAGTCCGAGAGATACAGAAACCCTAGTGGACAGCGGCTGGTCGTGACAATCTGTCACGACCCCGACTATAGTACAAAGTACATACAGCAAAGAACGTGAGTGTACGGAGGTCCAAGAAGTGGGTAGTAATTCGACTTCTAACACTCCCACTTACTACCTACTTACTTCGCTCATCCACATTTCCAACTAATAAACCTAAATTCTGATTATGATACCACTGCTTTTCTCTAGCTAATGGTTTTGTCATAATATCAGCAATCATTTCTTCTGTTGGAACATAAACTAATTTCACCAAGTTATTGGTAACCAGATCTCTGCCAAAATGGTATCTAATGTCAATATGCTTAGATCTCTCGTGACTTTTGTTGTTCTCTATCTGTGACATGGCACTTTGGTTGTCACAGAAAATAGTGGTCGACTCCAGCTCAAAACCTAGATCGTTTGTAATTCTCTTAACCACATAGCTTCAGCTCCAGCCTTGGACAAAGCCATGTACTCGGCTTCTGTAGAAGAAAGCGCTATTGACTTTTGCTTCTTGGATGTCCAACTAATGGTTCCGCCATTAAGTTGGAAACAGTATCCAGACGTCGATCGTCTCGTGTCAAGGCAACCACCCCAGTCTGCATCAGAATATCCAGTCAAACCGGATGGTTTGTCAACCCTCGTGAACACAAGGCCAAAGTCGAGAGTTCCTCTCAGGTATCTGAAAATTCTCTTGACTGCCTTCCAATGTGTCAATCCAGGATTTGACATGAACTGAGCCACAGAACTGACAGCAAAGGATATATCTGGTCTAGTGCAGATCATAGCCCACATCAAGCTCACAACTGCAGCTTGATATGGAATATTCTTCACCTCTTCACTTTCTCCCACTGAATTGGGAGAGTCAAGCGTACTTAACTTCAAACCGGGTTCCATGGGTGTATCAATTGGCTTACAGTCAGCCATGTTGAACCTCGCAAGCTTTTTAACCAAATATCGTGGCTGGGAGATCCGAATCCATCCTTCTTCACGATTTCTGGCAACTTGCATACCAAGACAATGATGGATCTCTTCTAAGTCCACCATTTTGAACTCCGCTTTAAGTTTCTCCTTGATCTTCGTGAGGAGACGCAATGAATTGCTTGCCAGTATACAGTCGTCCACGTACAGCGCTAAATACACAAATGCATTCTCCTGAAAGTGAACGTAAACATCTTTATCTGCATTGCCCTGGTAAAGGCAATCTGCAGTAAGAACGAGTCAATCCTCTGGTACCACTGTCGTGATGATTGTTTCAGTCCATAAATGGACTTATTCAGTTTACACACCATGTTATTCTCAGAAGAGATTTTCAACCCTTCAGGAATGGCCATGTAGACTTCTTCGTCCAACCGCCCGTTCAGGAATGCAGTTTTCACGTCCATCTGGTGCAGCTCTAAATTGTATTGAGC